TTCACGCCATATCCCACCCTTCAAACCGAAACACAGCCATGCAAACACAACTGCTTCACGGTAGAAACACGAATGAGACAGAGGTACCCAAGCAATTGACTTTTGTACAAAGTCTCCCTCTAGACCTTCTTACCTTAGTGTAATAACTATCATCATAGGACCAGTCAGTCAGTCGCAGTTAGACGCCTCTCGCGTCACTGCCGCTTAAGATTAAGGGACCCGAACGGTCCCGAAACTAGTCGAGCTTTCTCAATTTAATTAAACGTAAGTTAAACCATTAGTCATTACATTAAAATAAGATGTTTTATATTCCATTCTGTGGAAACGTGCAGAGGGTTTTTGTTAGGCAGTAAGGTTTTTGTTATTATATCCAATCCACTGTTAAAACTCATTTGGTTCCCATGCACTTGAAATTATTTATCTCGAAGGGAGCAAAAACATACGCAAGAAGCACGTACGAACACTCGACTTTCGGCGGGTAGGTAAGTCCACTATCTCGGTATTATCGCGTGACACCACGTGAAACGACTATATGCCGTTATGATGGCCGCCTAACAGCGATGGGCACACATTTTTTAAATTACATACGTTTTTAAGTGCCGTCACTCGGAGACACCACTTTACGTACCCTATTACGGTTAAAAAAGAAAAGTCTATCTCAAAATGTATTTGTGGGAACATGATGGAATTTTTGATAGGGACTAATAATATCAATTATAACCGTCGCCTATAGACATGAACAGTACCATGGACATTTACCAGAGGGAATCTTTGTATAAAAGTCGATTGCTTGGGTACCTCTGTCCCATTCGGGTTTCAACCGTGAAGCAGCTGTGTTTGCATGGCTGTGTTTCGGTTTGAAGGGTGAGATATGGCGTGAATTTACTGAGTACAGAGGAGTAACACCCGAGTCCTCAGGAATGGCAACGCATGGGGGGTATCATGGGTGAAACAGTACACTCTGTTATGTCCATGGTACTGCTCATGTCTATAGGCGACGGTTACCATTTTCCATCAGGTGGGCCGTCAGCTTGTTTACCATTCTAAGTTGTATAAAAAAAAATAACAGAGTATAATGTTGTATGTAAGGGTGTATCGAGTCGACCTCCACGCGGTTCCCTCTGGAAACCATCGTGATTAATTCTTGTTAAATTCTTCACGATAGCCGCATTCATCTTCACTTATCAAGATAGATAGATAGATAATTAATTTGCATTACTTACAGCACACAAATAACAACATACATATACAAAAAAGCGAGATAACATAAACGATAAAAAAAATACACAAAGCTAAATACAATTTTCGTTTGTGAGTACATCAACTATCACTGATGCCCCGGCAGTGTATACTGATAGCGCAGGCGGGGTTATCATTCCATTTTCACCCATTAAAAAAAGAACCTCATAGACCGGTGTGTGTGTGGTAACATTGAGTAGCCTGTAGCGGCGTGGTCACCAGATCAACTATGGAGCACGTTACTAATCACACTTTCGTACCTACAATCCGGTACATGTTTCACAATATCCGATCGACTCATTGTCTTCAGAGCTTTGTATCGTGTATTACGTGCAGCCACTTTCGACAACCTTGTCTCTTCATGTTATTTACCATTCATATTTGACTTCATAACCTCACCATTTCATAATTATTGCAAGGCAGGGAAAAGGTGCAATTATCTATCTAGTTCCTAATTGCCTTGTTAAAGGAATTTAGAATTTCCGTATAGAGTAAATAGTATCGAAATGACAATTTTTTTCGTGATATCCCCAAAATAAATGATTTTATTGTACACAAAAAGTTATTGAAGTAGAAAAAACAAACACCAAATTAACTTTTTTTAATACTACGAAAGTGACAGACAGATTGTCTGATGGTAAACGGTCATTGTAGCCTATGCATGCCAATAGTACTAGTGGTTTCACGTGCGCGTTGCCGATCCTGAAGAAACCTTAATATATCCTTTTTAAAGAACCCTAATCAATTACTGTTTTTGTTGAAACATCCAACGATTCAAATTTTGAGACTCAAAATCAGGTTTTGTTGCAGCTCACGTGGCGTCCGCTTTCTTAGCCAATATAAAGTTGCGAATACAGTTTACCTGCTAAATAATCATTTAGACAAAACACAACGTAATACTTTGCAAATAATTGATTAACAAATTAATATTTGACGATTATAAACATAATTGAGAGTCGACAAAGCATACATATAATGGTAACAAACGTCCAATTGACGTCTTCTATTTTACGTTCAGTGCTCACAGTAAATGCAAAACAAGCGTAATATGAATTATTATTTTTTGCCACAAAAAAAAATTATGTATAGAGGTCGCACGGGCTGGGGCGCGGGCGTCACGCGCCACCGCGCCGGCCACGCGACTCCACCTGCTCCGGTTCTCATACCAACGACTGGCCAAGGGCTGAATCGTTGGCTGCGAGAGCGGCCAGATATTAGCAAAAGGGTTGCGAATGCAAATTATACATTTGTAGGTATCGTGGATTTAAAATGATATTGCAATTGTCCTGTTAAAACAGTCCCAAATAGTTTCCTAAGTTTCTAAACGACTATCAATTAAAGGAGGTTTTCAATTCGTCTGAATTTGTGTGCGACGTTACGCGATTACGTCGTCTACTCGGAATCAATTTTCACGATTCTTTTTGCAATGAATAGGATTTACTCGCATTTTAACGATTGACAATTAAACATGTTTATCTTTACACAATAAAAAAGTTTCTTGTTGCGAAGCAAAATTTGTATATAATAAACATATGACTCCATGTTGACAATTGAAATATCTAATTATATTATATTGTAAATATGAAAATCTCTAATGCAAAATAAAATTTGCTATTAAAAATATATTTTTCGTAACTTACGTAGTAGGTAGAAAATATAGCACATATAGTTTTAATTTTATTTGCGACACTCGCGTCGTCTGTGTGTTAAATGAAAATATCTTACGTTTAAACATAAACAATACAAGAAAGTGTTTGAAAGGAACAAAACAGTAATGCTAAGTCGGAATTGTTTGTAGGCAATAAACAATATGGTGGCTGCTTTCATTTCAGTGAGAGAGTGCACAAGTGGCCTGCTTGAGGTTTCACTTTTTGTGTTACATTTAAAACTCTCTTCACATGTGCACACCACATTCACAAACGTCTAACACAGTGTTACACTATTTACCTAGTTAGTGAACACTTTTTTTCTTTTTTAATTTTTAAGGGCTTTTACTTTCTTAAGGTATATCAGCCTCATCATACCCCAGTCTGATTCTCAGATAAGATTTTTATATTGATGTTGCCTACTCAGAGAAAGAGAGGAATCCTCTCTGTAAATTATTGATGCCCATTAATTAATGTTCAGTTATTCAAAAGTCAATTCTTGTAAACTTTATAGTAGTGTAATATAAAGTAAATTTAAATGTAAATTTTATAACTTTATTATATTTACACAAAATTGTTATATGTTTTTATATGTCAATTTTATACTTTTTTGTGGAATGTTTTATTTATTGTCACATATCTATTAAAATAATTCTTCTTAACAAAAAAATAACAATCATAAAGGTTTCACATTATAATGTATTATTTTTAAATGCCCAAAAACAGATTGTTTACTAAATACCTATGCCAATTAATAAAAAAAATATAAACTAATTTATTTAAATAAGTTATATTCGTGTTTTATTAGATTCTGTTAAGGAAGTACCAAACATACCTTAATACTTTTATTATTACCTTGGTGTGAAGATAGATAGAAAAATATTACTAATTAGAAAAATTATACTATTGAAAACAAATTACGATGTACAAAATTTTTTTCACAATGTGCCTATATCTTTATAAATTATATAAGATTTTATTAGAAAAACACTATTTATATAGGTATTAATATAAAAGAAGGAACTGATCTCCTGATTGACTGGCATAATAATGCACAGTCAAAACCACTGAAGTCAGAACTTGTTATTTTGAACATCAATTTATTCTGTAACACAGACATCATTATAAAAAGGTTATGTATTTGTGTTGTAATAGCAAATAACAGATTCAGTTCAGTTATTAATAATCTTGGACTAAACTAAAATGTTATGTAAATAATGTAAAAGAATAGAAAGCAAAATGCACTAAACTGTCAATAAATATTTTTTAAGATCTACTATGCTCCTCCCTTTCCTAGAGTTGGCTGCTAATTCCTGTCACTGACAGAATATGTAGGATAACATTTGGGTAACAATGATTTTTATCTCCTTGAGATTAAAAATTGTATTTCCCAAATATTATTTGTGTACAAATGCATTAGATAAAAAAAAATGCAGTGACATTCTTTCTACATTTATAAAAAGACTGCAAACATTTGTTGAGCTGGTCAAAATACTTGTTTAGTTTGCAGTATCCAAGGAGGGCCCTTGTCATTACACAGTTATTGTTCTTTTCTTTTTTCAAGATCATTTTATACCACTTATCTAAGAGACATCATTTTCAAATCTGCATTTCCATAGATTAATTAAAATGGTCAGTGTGCAGCTTTAATAAATATTTTTAAGTTATGTATATTAAATATTATGAACGAAATGGTAATTTCCTCATATTTCTAATTATTTCAAAATATGTCTACTTCTGACAAATCAATTAGATTCATCAGTCAATGAGTATCCTTAGTAAAGTATAGAAGAAATTTTGATAAAAGATGATAACAAACTTCATACAGATGATAAAATATTAAATTCAATACTTTATTTATTTTAAAAAAGGTATGAAATAAAAAATATCCATTTATTATCTTCGTGTAGTGAATATATCACCACAGAAATGTTTTATGCACCTTACGCTAGTTTATTATTTTTCTGAGAGTAAACAGTTACTTACAATTTACTACTATTAAGTATATAGTATAAGAAGATTTATTTAAGTTATTATAATGCAGGTAATGTGGAATAAAATCCTATGCTATAAAATAATTTTACGTTTTTTAATCAAGTTATAAATGTTTCTTACCTGTAAAGTTTAATGTAGCGCACCTACTCGAAACTATGTCCACCTTCATTGTGTTGAAATAATGAACAAAACTCACAAATGAACACCTACATTAAGTTAACACCAGTTTATTAATACATATTTCACTTAAATAAAACTTTGCACTAATCAAATTAATAGAAATCATGTAAAATATAAAATATTCAACGTCACATAAATAAAAAGACAAGAAAGAAACATCACAAACTCAGAAACCAAACACGAATGGACCAATGAATGAATAATAATGATCTGATATATGGACGAATGGATGGAATGGTTTGATGTCAAATAAAAAAATAAAAAAAATAATGACATTAAGTGACAAGCGCACAGAGTAAATACAGACATCTAGTTTCAGAAACGTCAAATAGTGTCAAATTTTTATCTTTGGTCAAACGCATATACTTTGTACCCTTAACTTAAGATCAGACACAGAAAAAGAATGGTATATTATCCTTAATCTATAATCAACAGCAATAGCCGAAAATTAAAAATTGTATTATTGGAATTGACTCTGGGCCGTTATTTTTCTAAAGCGAAATTATTCAATTAAAATATTAGGTTAGGAGATAATTTTACAAAATATTGCACCTCAAAATTGGTCCCTGTTAATCTTCATTACAGCTAGATTTATTATTATATAAGAAGTCAACACAAACGATTAGCATTTGCATTTAACACATATATTGATTAAAAAGCCATCGTCTATGTAGTACACTTTTTTTACAATCGATTGATGATCATTCAGGAAATGTACGTACAATGATGCGTAGCGTTTACCATTATAGGTAATATGCTCCCGGTCTACCATGTAGCAAGTGAATAAATATGATTTGATTTAAAACCATTATGTTGAATACCTGGCGTATTCTACAGTTCATTTCATCTCGTCTATCGTCTCTCACTGGTAGCAGGTTACTATATACCGATAGCACAAGCGAGATTACCATTCCATTATCATTCATAAAAAAAGACACTTTTAGGTTGACCTTCATGCGGTTCCTACTGGAAACTATCGAATTCGTCATAGTAAGTCAAAAATATTAGTGATATTTACTTGTCTTATCATGGATCCTACAAATCTTTTTATCTAAATAAATTTAAAAAGCAAACAAAAAGATATGATTAAGAAAAGATTTAATATGTTGTAATAGCAACTAAAAATAAATAGAAAGACAGTCTCCTTTTATACATAAACATTTTATTCGAATTCTGAACGATACATAACATTAAAAAGTTTTTGAACTTTGCAGAAATATTCTATTCCATTTCATGCAGTCTTAGATCAAATTTTAAAATACATTGACTTATATTTCTTTTCTAAAATTTTCCACTGATAATTTACATTATTATTAATCAATATTTAAGTATTTTTTTAATTAATAAATACTTAATATTGATCTTTTAAAGTCGAAAATGAAAATATTTCTATAAAAATAATTAACAAAGGAAAAATAAATGTTGCTATTTTTCCTAAAAAATGGCAGCCTGTATGTCGTAAGCTTTTCATATCTTTTCTTATGAAAAGTTTTTATTGCCATTTGTCTAACGATCTATAATGTTAATTGTTGAAATTACCCTAATGGTTATTCCATTTTTTAAAGGAAATAAATAGCTAACAATTATTCTGAGTCATGAACATCATATTGTAGTGAGTACTACGTGTTTTTAATCTTTTTATATTAACAATTTACTAGAATTTTCCAATATAAATAATAATTAATCGTCGAAACTTTGTTACAGTATTAAATTTTATCAATAAATCTCCATATCTTTTTTAGGTGGTGTATATAGTGATCGAGGTATTTATGCAAATGTTGAACGGGTCGGACGGGCACGATACCAATAGTTCTGCTTTAGCATTAGAAAATAAAGACAACATGAGTGCTGGAAGTGCCAGTGTGGAACGGGAACTGGCGAGCACGCGGCGTTTGCTATGGGGCGAACACGTGAAGGAAGACGTGTTTCGCCGTTGGGCTCAAGGCTTTCAGTTTAGCCCCGACGAGCCCAGCGCGCTTATTCAACAAGAGGGTGGACCCTGTGCGGCAATCGCTCCCGTGCAAGGTTTTCTTCTAAAAATTCTTCTGTCTGAGACACCGGGACACAGTTTTCAAGACTTGACCTCGGAGAAGTGTAACTCTCTGCTTGTTAGGGCTGTGTGTACAATATTAAGCCAGTGTCTAGCACCTAAGTACAATGTGGCTGTGCATAGGAAGAGTGATACAGATGCAGAGACCAGCTCTGGTCATACGGTCAGTGCGGAAGAACAGTCTTGTGAAACAATTGAACATTTTCATCGAAGAATTGAGGTGCACTCGTTTCAGACATTATCAGAAGTGGAAGCTTTCTATACAAGAAATATTCGTATTTTGAAAGACAAATATGGTGTTCTATTACTACTATATAGTGTCATTCTCAGTAAGGGTGTAGCGACAGTGGAGACAGAACTGGCCGAACTTTCAGACCCATTGATACATTCAACATATGGCTATGGCTCCCAAGGGCTCATTAATTTAATGCTGACGGGCCGAGCAGTGGCACATGTTTGGGATCATGACCAGGTGGTGGGAGGGCTGCGACTCCGTGGTATAGAAAAACAAAATGATATTGGTTTTCTTACAATAATGGAACATATGCAATATTGTACTGTGGGTTCTTTCTATAAAAATCCCAAACATCCAGTGTGGGTTTTAGCATCAGAAACACATCTTACAGTGCTATTCTCACTGGAACGGAGACTAGCTGCTCCAGAAACTGCAGGGGAATCAGCGGAACGTATATTTCGATCATTTGATCCAGAGGGAAACAATTTTATTCCATCTGCGGCACTGCAGGATGTTCTATGTGCAGCTGATCTTGTCAGTGAGCCTGAATATGTAGAATTGATGAGGAGAAAACTAGATTCTGAAAACTTGGGTATTATTCTTTTGAGTGCTTTTATGGACGAATTTTTCCCAGGATGTGAACGTGGCGCACCAGACACATTCACCTTCCACCACTACAATGGGCTGTCACGCAGTAACCCCGGTGGGCGGGTGGTCTACCGGACCGGGCGTGCGGCTCTACTAGAGTGTCCCATGCGTGCCGCCAGTACAGACCCTATGCTTACATGTTTGCAGACCAAATGGCCAAGTATCGATGTGGTTTGGGATGATGGACAGTCCCCCTCTCTCAATTAGCAAAACATTATCCACTGTTGATAACCTTATACTCAGAACTTGTACTGTGACTGTGAGGAAAGAGTTAAAATGTACCTTTAAATATGTTTCAACATGTCACTGAAAATTCCATTATTTTATTGTATTAACTTATGTAAAAAATTGTATCACATGTCAAAGCTGTGTTAAAAGCTGAGACACAATTTGGGCAGCTATTTTGCATAAAATTGGGAATATTTGTCATGAAAAGTATATGAATACTTTAAGTATATTAAGACTTTACAAGCTGCTGTAGAGGTGATCTAATAAATTGAGCAAGCCCTAAACATTACTTGACCATTACTTTTGATTTACATCCTACTTGTTGTCTTGGTATCTATAATTATTTTAAATGTCAGCAGAGATTGTTGTTTTTCATTTTGTTCCTAGCGATTGCTGAGCACACATGACTATTTCTATTCAAAACAAATTAAATCTGGTTACGAGTATTTGCTCTGACCTGGTAAATATTTGTTTTCATTTCAAATAAAATAACAAGTACACATTTGTAATTGCATCAGTTGCACAATATGTCACCCTTCACATCACCTGATTAGCAACAGTTTTATAAAAAAATCACCTATATATTTTTTAATGTAAGACTATGTCTATACTCTTTTAATGTATAGTATTGTTTGGAATTTTGCACAATATCTTTTTTATATACATACTAATAAGTAATCCACAAATTGTATTGAAATCTGTTTAAAATACATGCAATAGATTAATATTAAATAACAAGCAATATTGTACCTCAAAATGAAACGGAAAATAAGTATTTTTTGTAAATAACTTTGGTACTTGTGTAGTGCATAATGATTATTGGTCTGGCTGTATGTTATTATTTGCCAAATTTGTGTACATAAGTCATGAATTGGAAATTGTTTGAAAGGTTGTGGCTACTCTGGGAGCAATACTTGTAATAATATAACGTTCCTTTAGGTATCAGTTATGTACCTATTATAGAAAGCAAACATTGGCATTCCAAATATGTCTTAGTAAGAAGATAAAATTTAGCAGTCATTTCAAGGTTATTGAAACACTTGTAACATTTTATCATCTCTAAATTCATAAATACTGTCTTGTTTATTGGTTTATATGTATATGTTCGTTCATATATAAGTTGTAAGATATTGTAATCCAATTTGTGTAAAATAGCTGTGCACGTTAGCGTCGCGTCGTAAAGAATATAATTATAAAATGATATTTTCAGTTAGTCATAACATACATAGTGTAAACATGCTTTTTTAACTACAAAATGAGTTTTATTTTGTTTTATTTTCTCTTCAGAATCGATGCAAATTTTAAATACTGCATTTATAATAACTATGCTAAGCTACGTAGTGTTTTGTTTATTACTATGACTATTATATAATTGTATCCGAGGAGTGAATGTACTGTATAAGTATTGAAATTTAGAGAAATAATGTCATTTCGTCATCCCCATTACGCATTGTCCAATTTTTTGTCTACTATATTTCAATACTTTTTCATGCAATTTCAATTGGTAAACAAGCTGACGGCCGACTCATTGATGTCATCCATAAACTACTATAGACATCACAGAATATGCAGTGAAGCCCGACGGTGCCCCTCACTAGTTGCCCATTGAGGAATTTCTCAGTATTGTTATCTATTCGCTATATCGCCAGTCCGTAATACAGTCATGTACACGCTGCACATAGGTATTTATCGGATCATAATTAGCAATTCTTTTTTCTATTACTAAAATCTCAGAACACTGTGCCCATGGTACGGCAATGCGTGGCCATTTCTGAGTATGGCGGTGTTATACCTATGTATTATGTAATTTTACTGCCACATCCTACCGAAAGGAATTATTAGTAATGGATACGAACAGTTTTATTACTAACGATATACTCTGTCAGGTCGACACCTGATTAGGTTCCATCCCCTCGTGATTTCTCCCTGAATATTATTGTAGTTAATTCTTGTTATCACCTATCATACTTCATTGGTGGCCCGCCAGCATATACATTAGCGCAGGCGACGTTATCATCACATCATGTTATCATCTCGGATCCCATGCTCTGGGCTAATGGCGTTGATATTGGGGAAATTCTAGTTGCGCAAAAAAGTTGTATACGTGCTGTATGAAATATTGCACCTGATGTTCTTGATGATGATCTTATTTCAAGTCTTTAATATATTAACTGTTCTCAGTTTAATACTAGAAGCGGGTATATTTGTTAAATAAACACGTGTTTACAGAAACAAAATAAAGAAGTGTAAGATACCCTCAAAAACTAATGACTAATACAATTCTTATTACAAGCCGTTTATTAAAAAATCCCATATGATTTCTTTAAAAATCTTTAATAATATTCCTGTGGATATAAAGGAACTTCCATTAAACAAAGAAATTGGATTACGTAAATAGTTACTTAACAAAAGCTTCTACTCGGTAGACGAATTAAAAAAAAGAAAGAATAGATAAATATCCGTATAGTTGTACATCGCTGCCCAATGAAAAATTATGTGAAAGGATTTTTAAATCGGTTGAATAGTTTTTGAGTTTATCCATTACTAATAAAGAATTCTTACTCTTTAAAATATTAGTACAGAAAATGAAACTAGCAAACTGCAACAATTGAAGGCCCTATATATATGAGAATGCGTTACTTTTGATATTAGAATGTTACTTTTTGAGCACTCTTGTAATACTTTTAACTATCGAATATTGGCAACACTAATATCTAGTCTCTCTCTAATCTGTGGTGACTGACTTTTCATATGTAATTCTTTGAAAGTTAGTAATTAAGCAAGTAAGACAACAGGGGTGGCAGGAATTTTGTTCCAAATTTAATAGATTAACACCAATTTCCACTGTTTGGCAAAATATGAGAAAACTAAATTCAAAACATCGTCAAAATCATTTTAAAGATATATCATGGGTCAATGATTTTTTACGCAAATATACTCCTGATTTTGTACACTCATCTTTTGATGACAAACAGTTTAATTCTGTTAATTCATGCCCAAAATTTCTCACTGACCCATTCTCAATTGATGAAATATCCAGTGCAGTAAAATCTAGAAAAGATACAGCTAGTGGCCTTGATCGCTTAACATACAATATGTTTCGATTGCTGAATAAAATAAACCTTACTAAACTCTTACAAATTTTTAACGATTTATGGAAGGACTGTATTATCCCACCAGAATGGAAAATGGATTGTTTGATTCCAGTAATTAAACCCGGTAAAGATCCTACAAATTTCGACTCCTATAGACCTATAACATTGACGTCCTGTGCAGGCAAATTATTCGAACAATTAATTAAACAGCGTTTAGAGTTCTTTATTGAAAGTAATAGTATATTACCATCGAATCAATTTGGTTTTCGCCGTGGATATTCAGCGCGCGAAAGTTTAGCGAACTTCTATGTCGACCTTAGTACTGCTTTGAATAACGATGAATATGTTCTATCTGTTTTTTTAGATGTCGTAGGAGCTTTTAACAATGTAAATTTAACAGTTCTATCTTCGATTTTATCCTCATTTCTTCCAATGAAACTTATCGAATGGATTTATAATTTTCTTAGTAATAGAGAAGTGTATGTTAAAGTAAATAGTAAATTAATAGGACCTAGGTTAAGCTCTAAAGGAGTATGTCAAGGTGGTATTCTAAGCCCGCTACTATATATTTTATATATCTATAAACTTAATTCAATTTTAGGAAACAGTGTGAACAACTTGCAATTTGCCGATGATTTATTAATTTATATAAAAGGAAAGAATATTATTGATATGCAATTAGTCTCTTCTTTCCCTCGATATTAGTTTAACCAAAAGTAAAGTAGTTGTTTTTCATCAAGTTCATAAATATGTTCCATTAATGAATATTATATATAATAATCAAACTCTTCCAACAGACTGTAGCGTTAAATTTCTGGGGTAATTTTTCATCAAAATTTAAAATGGGATCTATACGTTGATTGCTTAGTAGATCGTGCTTTAAGAGCCACTAATATAATAAGATCTGTAATTGGTCGTAACTGGGGAGCTGATCCTAAAATTATCCTTTTACTTTACAAATCTCTTGTTAGAAGTAATTTTGATTACGCTTTCTTTTGTTATGCCTCAGAACATAAATTAGTAGAAAAACTCGAAAAAATTCAAAATATGAATTTAAGACTTATTTTAGGTGCTATGTATACTTCTCCAATTATCTCAATGCAAGTAGAATGTAATTTGCCTCCTATCCTTCTTCGTTTCGAATACCTAAAACTCAAATTTCTCTTCAAAGTTTTTTCAGTTTCCAATAACCCACTCATACTCAAATTATTAAATTGCCCCATTTCTATGTTTTTGAATAAAACTATTATCAATGATTTGAATTTACGAGATGAATATAACATCTATAGTAGTAAGATACTTCCTTGTTATAATGGCCTTTATGAGAGTAAGTTCTGTAAGATCAAAATTGTTATACATAAAGACATAAAAGAAAAGCACGATATGTATGAGACTTTATCAGAATTTATTGACTACAGGCAGATATATACAGATGGTTCCAAAAATGCACTTAGCACTTCAGTGGCTTTTTACGATTTGTCAAATAGATTTGGTCACGGTTATAAAATTTCAACTTTAGCTAGTATTTACACAGCAGAAGCAAAAGCTATATTTTTAGCATTAGAATACATAGAAAAACAGGTACTATATTCGAAATGGATTATAATTACAGATAGTATGAGTGTTCTTATGGCATTAAAAAATAACACAATCATTTCATCATCAAACTACTTAATTCAAGAAATTCGTAATAAATATTATCATCTCTGTACTATATATGGAAAAGATATTATCTTCATCTGGACCCCTTCACATATTGGAGTGTTTGGGAATGAACAAGTAGACACTTTGGCTAAAATTATTAATTCAAGTGCTGCTCGTGTTCAAGATTTACCCCTTTGTTACTCAGATTGTAGTATTGGAATACATAAAATCGTTACAACTAAATGGGAAGAGCATTGGACTCAAATATTACAGACTAAAGGCAAATGGTACCGCAAAATTAATTGGCGTATTGGAAAACCGTGGTTCTGCAAAGGAAAGGACACAAACAGAAAATTTTACACCAATATTTGTAGATTACGAATCGGCCACGGACATTTCAACGAACACCTGCACCGAATGGGCATGATCGCTTCCCCATCATGCACATGGTGTAACTCAAATACAGCCCAATCTCTACATCACCTTTTTTTTGATTGCTCTGAATTTGTCATTCAAAGACACATTATGTTTGACGAACTTAGGATTATCTTCAAAAAACCCGAAAATATCCCGCACTCAATCCCGCTTCTCTTAAGATTTCCTTCTTGTTTCAAAGCTATTTTCACTTATATTACTACAACATTCAAGGAGCTATAAGAATACTTTTATTGAATTGCAAGACAATGATTTTTTATAATTATTTATTTTTAATTTGATAAATCCACTGGTTTAAGAAAACTCAAGAAAAGATCTCTTTGACAAATGAAATATTGAAGATTATGACAATAATTGAAGCGACATTAGAAAAATAAAATTCCAGACAAATTATCTTTTTGAAGACTAGGCAGCATGGTCTCCGACCTTAGCCTGTTCCAAACGGAACAAACGTACTAAAAAAAAAAAAGTAATTCTTTGACTGATGTTGTGAAAAAAACCAAAACAAATCGACTTGTTGAAAGCAGCTGAAAGTCTTGAAAGTAACAATGACTTCTGAAAAAAATATTTTCAAAAAATATGCTACAGAATATGACCCGATTAAGATAGCCTCTATTGATGGTACGTTCCATTTACAAATATTATATTACTTAATATTATAGTATTTTTATTATTATTTTTACTAAAAAAAGTACCCATGTAATCCTAATTACAATGACTACATTATTCCTCACTTAGTACCGACTTGTAATAAGACCGACAATTTTAATGTACACTACAGGCACAGATGTGGAGCCGCACGATCGCGGCGTGGTGCGTGCGCTATGCTCTGAGTACACGACCAACAAGCTGGTAAAGGGAGATCCGCAGCGGACCTTGTTTATCGGCAGGCTCAATCCAAGGACTACACAGGTACACTGGAAGTCCCATTATCGCAAATCTTACAAGTACTAATTCCTTTTCTTAAAATACTGCTGGAGTCATCGTTCATTTCTAATCTATGAAATGTTTGTTTGCACAGGATACAATACAATCGGAATTCTCTAAATTTGGCAAAATTGTCCACTGTCGACTGGTCAAAGACATTGTGACAGGCAAATCTAAACAGTACGCTTTTGTGGAGTATGAGAGTTACAGTGACATGGACAAGGCCTACAAAGACATGCACAGGGAATATATAGATGGAGCAGAAATCATTGTTGAAAGAGAGGCAGAGCGGAGGCTGAGAGGCTGGCGACCTCGGAGGCTCGGAGGAGGATTCGGTGGACAGAAAGAGTCAGGACAACTCAGATTTGGCAGTAGAGAAAGACCATTTAGGAAGCCATTGATTGCTTAATGTCTAAATATAATACTAATTATAGCAACATTACAAGTGTCTAGCTCCAAAAAATGTTACTATTTCAAAATCTCATAGGTCATGAGGTGTCACACTGGTCATAAAATGAAATGATGTGTGATTTGTGTTGTAAACAATTCAGAGGGTGGTGCAAGTCGTTTACAGCAACAGAAACTTTTTTGTCTATTTTAGAAGCTGTACTTCTTGTGGTTGTTATAACTTTTCTTACATTTTTGATACTTCACTTGTTAGTTTGCACCGAGAGAGACAATATTTTAGATGTCACTATTGTCACTAAAATTGATGAAGAAATCACCCTAGCTTCAACTAGTACTGCTAGAGTTGAAACTGTTCCACCTCATGTGACATGTACTTTGGATCAATTACAGAAAACTGCTGCAATGACTCATTATTATGAATATAGCTGGACGCAGGCAAACAGCGTTTTTATGGAATATAGTGACCAACCAGTTGATACATTGCTTCCTATGTATTTTGAATATCCACTAACAGAGGTTTTTTCAAATGATACTTTAAGTGATAATAGTAAATTAGATTTTTTTAATGGAGTCGAGGCCACCCAGGAAAAACAATTTATTTTGGCTCTAGTGAGGATCAGACCTCCTCAGGACATAACATTTGGCTGTATTTTGACTATAATCACTGAATTCTGGGTGTTGACATCGGCCAGCTGCATAGAAGCAATAGAGGAAGTCGACTCATTAGATTCATTTATGATGATGGAAGGATATGGAGAGTTGAGAGAGGGAAGAATGCACATGGTGGATGATGTCAATATTCACCCATGGTACCAAGGGGTCAACAGAAGCTACGACCTGGCAGCTTTAAGGAGCGAGGATAGTCTCATTGCAACAGGAGCGAGCACAGTTATCCTGCCCACCATGCTTGACTACTTTGTGGTTACTCTCGGAGAGAAGCTCACGATCCTCGGATACGGGAAATACAGGTATGCATCCGAGAAGTCGAGACTGCTTCAAGGCTAGTGTCACGTTTAGCGTATTTTTGGTCGCGTGAATACCTACAAGCGTGAGGTATTTTCGCAATTTTGGTCAAAAAATTTTCTGTTCATGTAATTTTGGAGAAATTTTTGGCTTGAAGAAATTTGAGTAAATTTTTTGACAATTAAATAACAGTTTTAGTACTTATAAACTCTGTATATATAGATATATAAGACACGGAATTACAGCAAAGTATATGACCAAAAGTAAAGTATGTAACGGAAAGGGCGGAGCAGAGAGAAAGGTGGAAACACTTTTCATTTTGTGCCATATGACAAAAAGAAGTGAAAAACAATACAATTTTGTGATAAGATGAAAATTCTAACGTTAAACGAAAGTCATACCGATTTAAAGAATTAATATTTGACGTTTGGGTAAAAATAGAAATTCAACAACCGAGAGAAGTCCATCGCAATGTGAACTGTTCCATCACGCAGGATAACCCAAGAGTAGTCGACGCCAAAGATACGTGAGTACGTGACCAAAGATCGTCCCAACGTGGGGCTAGCCTACAGATAGGAAGATTGACAAGTAATCACGATTGCAGAACGATAGACGAGAGTCCGGCGGGGCGGCGGTTACACAAGGCGGAAGTGTACATACTGGCCGCGCGGCAGTGCCCGGAGCCGGAGGCGGGGCAGGTGCGGCACCTGGGGCGCGGGCGGCGCGGGCGGCGCGAGCGGCGCGGCTGGTGCGCGGCGCCGCGCCGCCGCCGCGCGCCGTGCCAGTACTGCGGCGGCGCGCCGCTGCTGGCCGGCGCGCGCCTGCTCGGCCTCATGGCGCACTCGGCGCACTGCGGCCTCGCCTGCGACCCCGCGCTCTTCGTCAACGTGGCGCTGCTCACGGACTGGATCGATTCCGTTGTCCGCTCCCCTTAAAGCGCCTCGCCGAAAGTAATAAACGACTCCGTAACAAAAAATCTTGTTAAATTTTTTAATGATACTTTTTCGATATTTTGTATAGGTGTCGTGTTTCATTTGTTCTGTCATCGAGTGAGAAAAATCTTGCACCAAGTATCAAAATATACTAAAATACATGTTTATTTAACAGTCTGAAAATAAAGTTCGTTTCTAAAATGGCGCGTTATTCAAATAAAGAACCGAATCGAGACCTGTCAATGTTTGACGTACGACAGCTGAAATATAAGCAAGTTAGATATTTATCAATTATAAATAACGTAATCGTATGATCATAATATAAATCTGGCGTGTGTGCATGTGTACCGTGCGGTGGTTATAACGAGGCAGGGCGCTGCATTATGAACACGGCGGTGGTGGCGTGCTCGCTGCTGATGGCGCTGTTGGTGGCGGGCACGGTGTCGGTGGCCGTCATGCAGTTCGTCGCCGCCGCGCGGGGCGGGGGCGTCCACAACGATGATAACGGTTAGAGGCCGGCGCCGCCACTGGTACAGGCTTTTTTATACTTACTGTTTGTATCAATAAAGTTTTTTATATGTTTTATCTTTGTTGTTTTCTTTCATACCTGGGCACAGCCTAAATACGATCAATACAGACTCACATTGCACGCTGTACTCATCAACACACGTGCTCCGTGCCCGGTCCGAGTATTTTGTCGTCCTGCGAAAATTAATATTTTATTAATGATGTAACGATCATATCTACTGAATGGTAACCCAGCCCGCGCGGGGGGATAGGGATTGTTAGTAATGGGGAGGTTAGTCCCTATTGCTATCAATATATCCTATCGGGTCGACCTCCACGCGGTTCCCCCTGGAAACTATCGTTACTAATTTACCGTTGAATTAGTCACGATGGGCTAATTGGCCTGTCTTTTCATCGTCACCTATCACCCCTCACTGGTGCCCCGCCAGTGTATACCGATAGCGCAGGCAGAGTTACCATTCCATTATCATCCATTAAAAAAAATTCAGCCCGCGCGGGGGGATAGGGATTGTTAGTATGAATGAGGTCTAATAGCCCCGTTACTAGCAATATATCCATACAGGTCGACCTCCACGTAGTTTCCCCTGTAAACCATCATGATTAATTCTTGTCGAATTCATCACGGTGGGCCAACTGACCTGCATTCATTCTCACCTATCATCTTCCAGTGGTCCCTCGCCGGTGTATACCTATAGCGCGGGCGGGGTTACCATTCCATTATCACCCATTAAAAAACCCTACCCGCGCGAGGAAGAAGGGATCGTTAGTAATGCAGACTATCAATCCCATTGCTAGCAATATCCTTCACGTGGTCCGTCTGGAAACCATCTTTGTTAATTCTTGTGAAATTTGTCGCGGCGGCAAATCACTAGTGCGGGATAGGTAGCGTGTCTAACCAGGATGCGATCGGAGCTTATAACTGAAAGCTTGTCTGAAAATAAAGAAAGTATATCTTTTAAAGAGGCAGGTTCCTTCTAATCTTAATGTTTGGGCTAGTTTAATGATGATAATCCGATACCGGTTGCATCGCACGGCGTGAAGGTCGTTTTACCACACAAGAGAGTGCTGTCGCATCGCACCTGAGCGCAGCTATGTTCAGATTGATAAAAAGAAAAAAAAGCAATATGGCGTTGGCGCGAAAAAGTGAAAGTGATGACGGGTTGTTAGCAGCATACGCTCTATTTTATGTATTTATTTTATAATAAAGGACATATAAAGTGAAATTAATAGTTTGCTACGACGTGGTTTCGTGTGCAACTTGTTATATTTCATAATAAGACTTAATTTCTATTAATGGAAAAACTGATGTGTGTCATGGACATGTGAAGTACCCGACATTACGCCACCCTATTCAAATACAACATTTGTGCGTGCTCCGGAGCCCGTGAGGATCCTTAGCTGCGCCGTGGAGAAAGACAGCGAACCCAGGAGGCAGGTGAACCAGCACATCAAAGAGGTAAGATTAATTTAGGATGTTGCGAACGGCATACCGGTCTAGGAAAGTCATTGTTAACCGCCCTCTCTGCCGACCCTTGGACTTTTAGTTTTTCGCCCATACACTTAAATACGGTAATATTGTTTTTTTTTTTTTTTTTTTTTACAACACAGGGGGCAAACGAGCATGCGGCTCACCTGATGGTAAGTGACTACCGCCGCCCATGGTCACCCACAACACCTACGGCATTGCAGGTGTGCTGCCGGCCTTTTAAAAAGGAATATGCTCTTTTCTTGAAGGTTATGTTGTCGTATCGGTTCGGAAATACTGCTGCTGGAAGTTGATTCCAAAGAGTGGTTGTGCGTGGGAGAAAGTACCTTGAAAAACGCACGGTGGAGGACCGCCACTCGTCCAGATGATTGGGATGAAATTTTAGTTTATGGCGATTGTATAACTAACTTCCTCGCAGTAAACTGTCGCTTCAGGCATTCTCCTGCGTCAGCTGTTCTTTTTACCCAGTCAAGTGGCTAGTGCTGTACGATTTCAATTGTTCCATTGTAACGTACTTATTGATGGACAATGAGCGTCGTCTAAAATGTACTGATGACCGACCTGCAGTCTCCACACGATTCCTCTTGAAACCACCGTGGTTAATTCTTGTGGAATGAGTCACGATGGGCCAACTGACCTGTCTTCATCCTCACCTATTACCCTCACTGGTACCCCGCCAGCGTATAAGCGGTTATCACTCCATGTTCACCCTTAAAAAAGTGCATTATTGAATGTAGTTATATCCATTTGACAGTTGGCTTTGATTTTACGTAAATACGCAGTATGGCAATACTAGACGATTGCCATTTTCCTTTTTTTTTTTGATGGATGAAAATGAAATGGCAGCTCCATCTGCGCTACCGATATACGATGGCGGAGCACCAGTGAAGGGTGATCGATGAAAATGAAAACAGGCCAGTTAGTCCATCATGATGAATTCATCAGGAATTAACCATGATAGTTTACAGGGGGAACCGAGAGGAGGTGGACCTGGTTGGGTATATTGCTAGCAATGGAATTCTTAGTCTCCATTACTAACAATCCCATTCCTCCCGCCATTTTCCTTTAGGTCAACGTCTGTTTTGAAACCAATACTGTCCAAGTAAATAATTTGGTGAGTATACAAATAAAAGTCCAAGTGGTAAGCATTAACATAAACATTTTATTTAAATATTTTCCACGAATTCGAATGTTAAATATAATACATTTCCAAATACATACCAACGGGGCGAGACCGCCGCCGCTTCAAATATACACATAGATGCGCGGCCGCGCGTCGCGCCGCCTCTGTACACAGCACTGGCGGCTTACTAACGATTACTTTACTAAGGCATTTAATATTTTATACAACCTCGCCTGCCACCGCTATATATAGCCAACACACGATTACTATCTGTACATACGTTCTCGTTATACACATCACGGGACTATTAAAATAATGATAAAATCAATTCTTACATGAATAACACAGCAATAGATCTGTGACAATCGGAAACAGTTTATTGTCTACAAGTAAAGCGACAGAGAAATCTATTGCACCCAATTAAAGCGAAGTACACTCGATGCCCACTGTGATGCGTCCAAATTGATTATTTCATGCCTTTGTTGTGGTAAACTTATGCATTACAATCGGCATCGATCGTTCAGAAGATAAAGCGAATTAACGACAGTGTATTTGGAAAAATTAAACTCAAAATTGCTACATAATTATTATATAAAATAAAATATATGAAAATTGATATATATATGTTCCACTAACAAATACATTGAAAATTTGCACCGAATTTTTTAAACAATCCAATAATTATAAATCAAAATAACGACAAAAAAAAATAATAATAATGATAATGGAATTCACAAATTTAATAATTCATTTCGTCAAATTAAATATGTTGAGCGCCGTCGCTCGACGCTCAGACCGCTCAGACCGCTCAGACCGCTCAGAGCTGCCCAGAGCGTCCCCTGGTGGCGTACGGATTCATTTCTTATAGCGCGACTGCTGCCTCGCACGATCATACTAATAATATCAATTGTCGATTCACAATTAAGTCAGTTGCACGGTCGGAGCGCTGCGGCGAACAAGTAGCGGGGCAAGTGGCTAGCCGAGTGGCCGCCGGCCCGACGCGCCGCCTTATATGCCGCTGCGGTACTGGTCGTCGTCGGCCACTTGCGTTGGATCGTAGATAGCGGCCTGGAAATTTGTTCACCCAAAGTTAGTATATTGTTATTCAATCATTCATATCAGCCGGTAACTGAGGGAGAAGGAGATTTTATACAAAAGTCGTTTACTTGGGTACCTCTGTCCCAATCGTGTTTCAACCGTGAAGCAGTTGTGTTTGCATGACTGTGTCTCGGTTTGAAGGGTGGGATACGGCGTAAATTTACAGGGTACAGAGGAATAACATCCGAGTCCTCAGGAATAGCAACGCATGGGGGGTATCATGGGCGTAACAGTATACTCTGTTATGTCCATGGTACTGCTGCTCATGTCTATAGACAACGGTTATCACTTTCCATCAGGTGGCGCCGTCAGCTTGTTTGCCATTTTAAGTTGTATATAAAAAAAAAACTGCCCACTGCTGATTATAGGCCAGAACATAGGTTTTTGTCATAAGTTACCACGCTTGGCAGGCGGGTTGGCAACTGCAGTTAGGCTTTGGCGATGTTTGAAGAGGGGCGCTGCTGCTCAGTAAGTTTCCTTAGACACACATAGGAGAAAAAGGGGTGGCCCTTTCCATGTCGGCATCACACGGCCATTATATTGGTATTGTTAAATTAGACATTTTTTTTATACCACTGAGGTGGCAAACAAGCATACGGCCCACCTGATGGTAAGCGGTTACCGTAGCCTATGAACACCTGCTATACCAGAGGTATTACGCGCGCGTTGCCGACCCTGTGGCTCATTATTGTAGCTCCAAGGGTTACCTTCTCATTTTTTTCTCTTAATGTTTTACAACAAGTATGGTATAAATTATTACTTATTTTACCTGTTAGTGGCCGTTTGGTATACTGTCTGCTTCCTGGGTGCATGCGACATAATAATAAATAATTAGAGGTGCATGTTGCAACGATTACGATACCTCGGATGTAGACGGGTAGGAGGGGGGACGGGGCGGAGCGCGGGGGGACGGAGGCATTGACAACTGCACTACCTGCGATATGTAACCGCTTTGTACAAAGATTTATAAAGAAATATATATAAACATAATGTATCAGTAGGTATAAAATATAGCCGACCTGTAGCGGCGCGGGCGCGGGCACGAAGTAGGTGGGCGGCGCGCCGGGCGGCGGCGCGGGCCCCGGCGCCGCGCCGGCCGGCGTCCGCGCCGCGCCGCCCGGGTTCAACACGTCCACGTACGACTTCTTTATGTCTGCACACAAACCATACAGCTATTATAAAGCATTCCATCGCGTACTTACATCTAGCCTTGCGACCTATCGTGATACATAGCGTGTATTGAGACTGTTACATTTTTTGTTGTAAAGCTGTCTTATGCATCTAATAAATAAATATGCACTTTTAAGATATCAATGATTTTTTTTATACCACTGAGGTGGCAAACAAGCATACGGCCCACCTGATGGTAAGTGATTACCGTAGCCTATGAACGCCTGCAATACCAGAGGCAAAAACGCGCACGTTGCCGACCCTGAAGAAACCTCTTTACCCCCCTTTTGAAGAACCCCATTCTGTAGTCTCTTGGGAAAACCTCGGCAGGGAGCTCATTCCATAACCTGAGTGTATAGTTAATACAGTATAATTAATATTATTTATTAGCAACATTCGCGTGACACCCCTAGTGTTGCAGGCGTCTATACACTACAACGGCCATTCACCATCAGACGGGCTGTACACTCGTTTGCGACCTTTATAATATAAAAAAAAATATCCTAGTGGACCAAAACTAAAGATGTGTGAATATTTAATGATAAATGTCCTCGACCGGCACTCCATTCACTTTGTCTAATCTGTAAAGTGATCGATGGGAACATATCGACAGATACGTTTCAAAGCCTCTCAAATGAACTGACCCAAATATTGTTAAAAGTATAATAGTAAATTTAACCGTACCCATCCTATAATTTTTATTCAAATTTCCAATGCAACGCGAATGGTTTGGCAGTCGACTAATACTAGTATTTGTACTTACGTCTTCCTTTTTGCATCTTGAATATGTTCGAGACGGGCGCAGTGGGCGGCGCCCCACCCGCCGCCGCCAGCGGTGGGGACGAGCTCCGACTGACGAACGGATGTGCATTTATTTACATATTTATACACTTCATTAAATTATTATTAATTTATAAATGAGTATACAAGTGTTTATCTACCATTACAGATATGGTACGTATTTACATTTATTTTAAATACTAATACAATTAAAATGAAAAATTTCAACAAAATTATGAACAAAATATGATCAAGATTGGGATTCATAATAGATATTTTTAGTTAAATGTTGTATGACAATAGAGGTAGTCGTATATTAAGGCGTGTATAACAAAAACTAGTGGGCAGTACTCACGCGGCGGCAGCGAGGGCGCGCGGCGCGGCGGGCGGCGGCGGCGGCGGCGCGGCGCCGGGCGCGGCGGCCGGCTCGGCGCGGTCCCGCCAGCACTTGTGCTCCTCGTCCCACACGATCTGCGGCGGCGGTGGGGGGTGATGGGACAGGGGCGGGGCCGGGGGCGGGGGGGGGGGGGACATTAGTATACAACCATGACATGCCTTTTTATTTAAATAGCAGAATAAATTATATAACAAAAAAAATTTGTGACTAAATTCGATGGCATGATACAAAACAAGACAAAAAGACATGATAAGGTTTATATAATATATATTACATTTAATATAAATATATTATATTTTGGCATAACATAGAAACTATACGCACCAGTGGCGAGTACAATAACAACCAGTAACATGAAAGGAGCATTACAATAAAAGGCCAGCACTCCACAACACTATTTATTGTCGGAACATGAAGAAATCATTTCAAGAATAGAACGCGTAAAACCACAATATAATTTTCAAACAAAAATGTTAACAATTTATATATAAAACTAAGTTCAATAGCGTACAGTTAACGGCTGATGAATTAAAAAATTAACTAAAAAAATAATATATATATATATATATATATATATATATATATATATATATATATATATATATATATATATATATATATATATGTATATGTGGACAATTTATATATGCATTATGTTGTAATAAAACAATTTAGAATTAACTACTCGTCCACGAGGCATGGTTTAATTGAAACTAATAACACAGCATCAAAATCCCTATCTATTATCGATCACCATTTAAACCAGGGCCTCCCAAACTTATTTTGTCTTCTGTCCATGGTAAATATAATCTTACATTTGTATATGCTTTAAACATTTCCGAACGCAACATGCTTCTCCTTGCCTATCCATATTTCCTATCAAATGTGGGATCACATTGGGGGGTAGATGGACAAAATCAGTCTATAATCCAACTGCGTGTCGAGTTGATCAAGTTCCGCCAAGATCACGAAACATCTCCACCAGTTGCGAATTAGTCAATCAGCCGCGATCTCCGCACAACGTACAGTGGTACTTAAGCAAAATCAACACAAGTGTTAGATATTTAGAAGAGAGAACGAGAACGCGTACAAAAGACCTACACGCGGGGACTACGTGAACCAGGTTTGTCCTTTACCCTTCTTTTTATCCAACAATCCACTTTGAGAATAAATTATTTTTTAGCACCCCAATTTTTTCACCTACTTAGAAATCACTATTACATCAAGATCAACAAATCACGCCCCCAAGCCTCTACACAATGCCCCCATTTTTTTCTGCGTCTCTTACCGCCCCCCTTTAAGTCTACAGCGCCCACAAGGGGGCGTTATCACCCACTTTGGGAAAGACTGATTTAAAACAACAACTGTTACAAAATCTACTTTTTTTCATTGAAATCTTTAGTCAATTTTAAGTCGTTAACTTGACGTTAAACTGTAAAAGTTTCATTAAGTTAAACAAGTTTTTTTTAATACATATATGGTGCGGGGATCGAAGCCGCGACCATTGGAAGATACAAAATAAACTAGTATAGGTTAAATCATATGGGGAAATAAAGCACAATAAATACATATAAATATATAAATAACAAAGGAAGACAAAGAGCACAGGGCCCGATCTAGTTATAAAAAAAAAAATTGCCGCTCATTATAATAAATAACCACGTTTTTTTTTGCTTATACAACTTAGAATGGCAAGCTTATTTCTCTGTACCCAATAAATTCACGCCATATCCCACCCTTCAAACCGAAACACAGCCATGCAAACACAACTGCTTCACGGTAGAAACACGAATGGGACAGAGGTACCCAAGCAATCGACTTTTGTACAGTCTCCCTCTGGTAAAAACCACAAAAAAAAATAACCACGTTAACTCGCAGCAAGCACATTGTACCGCGGATATCCACGCCTAGATCGGGCCCTGGTGGGAGAAACATCAATAATACATACAACATAAATACATAAATATTATAAAGGTGCGTCTACAGGAGCGTGGGCGCGTGCCGGCTGAGGGGGACGGCGCGCGGTGGCGGACTCACAGTGGGGTTCTTGTCGTCGGGCAGTATCATCTGGTTGGGCGGCCGCAGCGACAGCTTGGTGAGGATGCCGCCCAGCCAGCCGCCCTTGCCCTTGCTCTCCGGCCTGCTGCTCTCTTCCTTCGCCTTGTCCGGCTTCGCGCTCGACTGCGGCGTGTCCGTGTCGCGCTCCGGCTGCTGTTGGGTGTACATACGTAAACTATTAGCAATGGGAACCAATGGGAGTGGTAGATGGCGCTACCGAGTACAGCAGCGTCCCACTTAAAATATCTCCAAAACCTAACTGCGATTCCCAATCCGCCTGTCAAGCGTGGCAAGTACTGGCAAACCCCCCAGGGGGGAGTCATATATCCAGCAGTGGACTGTTGAAGGCTGATATGATGTTAATGATGATGAAAGTAGACTCACATCAGCGCTGGGCGGCCGGTCGTCGTCGTAGTCGGCGTAGAGCGTGGACTTGGCGGCGCTGGCGCCCGGCATCGTGATCATGGGCCGCGCCTCGTCCCCCGCGCCGCCCGCGCCACCCGCCGCCGCCTGCACGCGCAACGCACCATACCAACACGAGCCACGCCCACCGCGCCCGCCGCCGCACAGAAACCTCACCCCGGACACAGTACACCGACTCGGAACCACAGCGATATCAAACGCCACAGAGTGCATCGTAACGCCTATCATGAATGTATCACTCCCGAGGGCTATGGTTTTACGACTCTGTACGCTGTAATTTCCCAGTCATATCCCAACGTTCTAACCGAAACACAGCCATGCAAGCACGGCTGCGTCGCGGCAGTAACAAGAGTGGGATATGGCGTGAATTTACAGGGTACAGATGAATAACACCCGAGTCCTCAGGAATGGCAACGCATGAGGGTATCATGGGCGAAACAGTATATTCTGTTATGTCCATGACACTGCTCATGTCTATAGGCGACGGTTACCACTTTCCATCAGGTGGGCCGTCAGCTTGTTTGCCATTCTAAGTTGTATAAAAAAAAAACAAAATTATGGCATAATTCTCTGTTTAAATTGTGTTGATGAAATTTCATTGGGTACATCGAATCAGACCCAGGTTTCGTGTCGGCATACTCATTACGACAAACGCTGTGTTTACGACCACCATTCTATTTGTGAATAGAACAGATCAATCTGCGGACATTTCTGTGCGACGGCGGGAAAGCAATAATACAATTTGTGTACTCACCAAAGCCAAGATCATCGTTCGTACGCGGCCGCTGTACCACAAAAAGTTTACTCCCAAAACATTATTTTAATGTTAACCGTTTTTATTCACATACAAGTTTATAAGCGACTTTAATACGAGTCAGCGAGATGAGCCCAGTGCACTCGGCGGCTGCCAAACGTAATGAATTGGAACGCATCGCATTTGTGTTTTTAATTTAGATCGGCCGCGACGCGTGACTGCGTTACATTGAGTTCGGCCGCTACTCTCACGGTCTTACTACAATAATGTTGAACTTTCCATACGCAGCTGTTAAATACGTGTTTAACGATTACTACAAAGTAGTGTCTAACATCAGAGGGGCTACCATGAAATGTTTTCCGAAATTTCGGGGCCACGAAACAAAGATTTGATGATAAAATTACATAATACATACTATTTAAAAATATTTTATGACGAATGAGATGTTAAGCTTCATTTATTGGGCCAATTTCGGTATGAACGAACAAACACGAAATTGGCTCTGAAAGTTCGGAATTTCGTATCATGGTAGATCCCCTGTTCACGACTAAACAAAAGAAAATACGTTATATTGGAAACAAAACGACTTTAGCATATAAAATTATAAATAAATATTACACCGACTAAATAATGAGTAATCAATTTTACAGTTTTTTTTTTAACACAATAAATATAAATAGCCAGCATTTAAAATCATTTTTACAGTAAGACCGTTACGCCGCAATACGTGAACGTTCTCGTTTGGTGACCGTGTGCGCTGGGCCTAATGTAAAGGTGGCATTCCAATCCGGTGGCGGTGGTACGTGACGTAGATTCTAGGGGCCAACATCACGCGTAGTGACTGAAAATTTCGATGGGGATTTCTAAGAAAGCGGTAGCTCAATTATTGAGAGCACTGGCCCCGGTGTGGCAAAGAAAGTGCGCGTTCAGACTCAAACACGTCATGCTTTAGTATTTAGTGCGCGCAAAGACTTGGGGCGACCACGTGCCGGGTTTTTTCTTGTTAATCGCGTAATCGAGATATAACGCGTGGTCGCGTGGATCGGAATGCCACCTTCAGTGAATCTTGGCTTCGGAAAGTGCAAGCTGATTACATATGTACAGTCAATTCTGTTAAACGTATTAAGAGCGAGCTCATCTCTTTATAGGCCAGCACGGGTTGAAGAACATTAAAAAGATACAGCTAACGTTTTTAAAAGAAATCATGGTTAAGTGAAGATTTTCTAATAATTAGTAATAATTAAAGTAGATACATTATTTTAAACAGGCGTCTGACTAGAGGTATTACTGTAATCTAACGTTCCCAATGTGCGAAGTTACGTCGGGGCGTCTGTTAAAATCTTCCTAATGTGCTCCTTTCGAACACAGTGCTCAGTCGTGCTTCATTCATAGTCGACATGCGAAGGATGCATAAATGCTGATTTGTAAATCAATCGCGTAATAAAGCAAGGAGATTTTTAATTAGGTTGGGCTTTTTTTATGTTTGTCACCTCACAACTCCGTCAGTTGTAAACCGATTTGAAGAATTCTTTTCTATCCGAAAGCATACACTTTCAGTACGATTTCAAAGAAGTTTTTTGAATCTTTCCACCAGGTGGGTTGTCAGCTTGTTTGCCATTTTTAGTTGCATAAAAAAATCGTTTCGGTACTTTAATTTCAAGCAAGGGTTTATTAAAACTAATTTGTCTTTACGTTTGTATTACTTGTCGACTGTATGTGTTACTGTGATTTATGTTTGTCGGGTGCTTCACATCGCAATTAGTTTGATGCGATATTGTGCACACAACAACAGCACTGACGTGGGGCGCATGTGTGCGCGGCCGGGACATGCACTCGTGGGCGAAGGAGCACGAAGTTGACAGTCGACACCGGGGAACGAGCGAGCGCTGCTGTTTAATTAATAGAAAAACTGGAGATTCTTAACAAACATTTAATACTCATTTACAAAGTATCACAACGGCGCTACAGACGGCACGCGGGTCGGTTACAACATTTACTCATTGAAGGAAATAATAATATAATAATTAGTATACGATACAGGGCGGGAGGGGGCCCGGCGCGGTGCAAATAATATGTGGTTTGCGAACGATAGATTCACGGGTACGTGTTAAAATAAATGGTACAATTAATAAATGCAATACTATGCAAACGTGGCGGCGAGAGGAGTGGACGCGGCTGCGCGGCTGCGCGGCTGCGCGGCGGCCTACAGGCGCGGGGCGGCGGCGGGCGCGTCCACGGGGAAGCTGCAGGCGGCGCGGCGCGCGCGCATCTCATCGAACGCGCGCACGCTGCGCCGCACGCGCCGCACGCGCCGCGCCAGCTCGCCGCCGCCCACCGGCACCTCGATCGGGAACGTGCCGCCGAACACCAGCGGCCGCCGCGCCGCCGCCGCGCCCGTCGCGCCTGTCGCCCGCGCGCCGCACCAGCACTCCACCGTGCGCCGGATCACGTCGCCGCCCGCCGCCGCCGCCGCGCCCGCCGGCGACGGCGAGCGCGACGCGGGCCGCGCGCCGTGCGCCACCTGTATGTCGAGGTCGGACAGCGGCGCGCGCGGCCGGCCGACGGCCGCGGGCGCGGGCGGCGGCGGCGGCGGCGGCGGGGACAGGGGCGGGGCCGGGGGCGGGGGCGGGGGGCCCGCCCGCAGGCGGCGGCGCAGCGAGGGCGCGCGCTGCCGTGCACCAGACAACACAGCGTTAGCGCCGGCCGGTGCCGCGACACCTATATCTCTATCTAAACCCTTCCCCTATCCGAGTGCTTCGACGCCCCCCTCGCTCGATCCCTAGCCCGTGCTTAGCCTCGAGGGCGAGATGAACTCGGTCTTAAAACACTAGCCCCTCTTAGAACGACGGCCGCGGACTCACCTCGCCGTAGCCGTAGTGCGAGTCCCCCTGCCAGTAGCCGTTGTCGTACTGCTGCGCGTCGTCGGCGGGCCGGGCGGCCCACTCGTCGCCGTAGGGCGCCGGCGCCTGCTCGGGCTCGGGCTGCGGCTGTAGCTGCGGCTGCGACTCCGGCGCGGGCTGCTGGTAGTACTGCGAGTAGTCCACCTGCTCCGTCGCCTCCTGATAGGGCTGAGTCTGTTGCTGATACTGGGGTTGTGTTACCTGTCAAAATAGGAAATATTATCAATAATCCCAAGCTTCCAGACGATACCGAATACTTAAGTCTTAGAAGAGATTTTGTCTCACTCTGCGTGTTATACCGCTTGTACAAAGGACTGTAGTCAGAAGAATTGTTCAATATGTTGCCCACGGCCACCTTCTGCCATCGTACAGCTCGCCATCGACAAATAGAGGCGAGAGTTCACTCCTATACCTTAGAGCCTAAATGGCTGTAGTAGAACGCGGTTTTAGAAATGTTTCCCCCCACGAACGCTCCGGTCACGAATTGTAGTCGAGATTTTCCCTCAAGACTACAGCATAATATTCTTCAAAAAAGGAGTAGAGGTTTCTTTAGGTTCGGCAAAACGCATGTAATACCTCTAGCATTACAGACATTCACAGACTACGGTAACCGCTTACCATCAGGTAAGTCGTATGCTTTTTTCCACCTCAGTGGTAAAAATAATTCCATGTAAACATTTTATTATATTTTTACTTTTAACTGTAACGGAAGTTTGTCGCTTTATATCCGGCTCGAGGGACCTTCGAGAAATTAGTGAGTGTACTGTAGTATATTATCAAAATTTTATAGAATTATTAATGTTTATATAAAATAATTGTTTTATACACGAATTGACGATATGGATGAATAGATGTCAGTACGAACCTGGTCCGCCGCTGGCCAACCGCCGTATTGCGCATAGTACTCCACCTGCTGCTGGTGCTGGTGAACCGGCGTCGTCTGCAAGGATACGTCCTCCGCCTAGCATACCCGCAACATACGTACACGAGGTTAGATATACATTGCATGCATAGCTCGTCTTTTAAATAAATTTATAATAAACGATGAGGATATGGTCAGAAAATTAACACCCACATTAGAAATTTCGACATTTAATGGAAACTACATTAAACGGGTATCATTCTAGGACTTATTTTTGGAAGTACATTATTAAAAAAAATGCACAAGATTGTAAAGAAGAATCATGCCCATATTTAAATTAAAACGACAATAATTGAAAAGTCAGGTTACTATTTACACAAATGTCAAGACCAGTAAAGAGCGGGAGCACTGACCGAGGGCGGCGGCGGGGGGCGCGCGTCGGCCGCGAGCTGCTGAATGTCGTGCAGCCACTGCTGGTGGCGCGGGGAGGGCTCGCCGCTGTCGTCGCCGCGCGCTGCGCCGGCGTCGTCCTCCTCGGCGGCGTCGTCCTGCAGCGCCGGGTCGTGGTACTTGAGCCTGCGGGCGAGCACGCGGCGCGTGAGTGCGTGCGGGGCGCGGGCGGGGTGGACGGGCGGGGCGGGGCGGGGGTGCGTACCTGTCGGCGAGGTGCGCGAGGGCGCGCGCGAGGCGCGGCGCGGGGCGGCGGGGGGCGCGGGCCAGCGCGCGCGCCGCCTGCTCCGTGTACGCCAGCGCGCGCTCGTACGCGCCCGCGTCCGCCAGCCGGCTCGCCGCCACCAGCTTGTACACCTGCAACCACCGCCGCGTCAGCGCGCACACATCCAAACACGTCGCCCCACACCCCACGCCAGTAGCCGGCCACAAACCTGCAACTCCTCGATCACGTAGTCCCTGTTGAGCGACATGGCGTACTCGTATATTTCCGTCGCGAAGATGGCCTGGTTGGTGGCGAACAGGGGCAGCGTGGGCGCGCGCGGGTCGGCCAGCAGCAGCGACAGGCGCGGCGGCGCGGCGGGCGGCTCGGCCGCCGCGAGCGGCGCCAGCGGGTGCCGCTGCGGCTCGAGCCCGCCCGCCATGTAGCAGAACTGCGCCGAGTACAGCAGCCCGCGCGCCGCCAAGCTGTCGCCTGCGGTGCGCCACATATGTTTAAGTTAGGCCTATTTGCATCTATACGCTTGGGTATGTTACTTATGTGTGCTATGTCGTAATCAAAAACATACCTAGCTGCACGAGTGTGCGGCGGTCCTGGTCGGGCTTGGCGGAGCCGTTGGCGAGCACGATGGCCGCGTGCGGCCGCCAGTCACCCCAGCGCTCGTCGGACACGCACTGCAAATGACGAGATTGGTTAGAACGAGCGGGTGAGTGGGGCAGGGCGAGGTGGTGGAGGGGGAGGGGTGCCGTACGTACGGTAGCGGCGGGCGGCAGGCGCGCGGCGAGCGCGGCGTACAGCGTGTGCAGCGGGTCGCTGCGCGGCAGCGCGGCCACGAAGCGCGCGCTGACGGCGGCGCGCGTGCGACGCTCGCAGTGCGCCGCCAGCTGCAGCGCGTGGCCCCACAGCGCGTTGCTCATCGCAAACTCTGCGCAGCGACAAACCATAATTGCAGTTTCTCTCCGACTGAATACCCAACTTGCTACTCGTGAGGAAGTCTCGCGAAGCGGTGGCGACCTCTACGTATCTACTACATAAGTACAATTGTCAGATCCTCGGATGTTGAAATTGATAAAGTATAAAATGATACTGCGCCGACTTCACGCCCGATTCTCACAGTCTTCCAAAGTCAAAAACGTGGACCAAAATATACTTTCTCCTAGAAGTCTGCTTCTAGCGAAGCTAATAGATATACAATTTTAAACCACAAGACGAGTTTAATTTTGAAATTGTATTAATTTAAATTCCTCATATTGTAGCAAAGCTATTTCTGCAAATTAAGTTTAATAATGAAATATATCTAAAGAGACTCACCGAGTGCCTCCTGGCGGTTGCCGTAGATGAGCAGCTCGCGCAGCCGGTCCAGCGCTGCCTCCTCTGATATTTGCGGCGCACTCTCTTGCGCTATGTACAATACAACTTTGTAAACAAACTTAGTACAACATTATATATATAGCAATAAATAATTACACAATTAAAACAAGCAACGCATGTCTTCGGTGACTTCCGTATTGCAGTGATAGGTATGTACCTATCATCATCATATCAGCCATTAACCGTCCACTACTGAACGTAGACCTCCCCCATAAAGGAGGGTACTACCAGTAGCTGACACGCTTGGCAGGCGGGTTGGTAACTACAGTTAGGCTTTAATAATGTTTTAAGAGAGACGCTGCTGCCCATTAAGTCCTCTCTTTCGACACCCACGGGCAAGGAAAGGTGGCCTATTCTGTGCCGGGACCACATGGTGATAAGTCATAATTCAGTCAGGTCAAAACAGTATGAATCTACTAAAAAGATATTTTCGCAGGTTGTTCTAGCTGGAGCACGTCCAGGCAATTATCAGTGTTCAATGGAGCTGAACATACGCGTGTTGTCCGAGTACGAGGAGTTGTCGTCCGGCTCGGTGCGGTCGGTGCGGTCGGTGCGGTCGGTACGGTCGGTACGCTCGCCGTCACGCTCGTCGTCGCGCGCCGAGCCCGACAGCGACGACTCGCGCCGACTGCCTGCACATTGCACTGACACTACATTTACTGTACCACTAGCTGTCACCCGCGGCATTGCTCGCGTTAATTACAAACACTAATTAACCGTTACGAATACCACAAGCATACTCTTTGTTTTTTATATACTATATAGCTAATTTATTTTAGTTTTCGAAACAAATAAAAAATGTTTATGTACCGTCGTGCGTTGGTTTAGTGAATGTCGTCTTGTATTCATACTCTCGCTTGTTCTTCATCAGCAGCTCAGCAATGTCGGTGCCCACCACCACCTGCCGTCAGAGAGTGCAACATGTATCACAACATCCGTCCTGCTGCTACCACATAATGAGGTTACACAATCTAGTAACAGATTACCGAAAAAAACAATTTGTTAGTAGTTACTTTTTGTTATATATTTAACGAAAATAAAAAAAAACATTTGCCTAAACAAAGTTACACAAGTAAATGTATTTCTTCACGTATGGAGTGACAAAAGTCACACATACATAAGACAAAATCCTTGTATCAGAATCCAAACAGTACCGTCCACATCGCCCGTTTTATAATATAACGAGGACAGTATCAGCGTTGTGGGCAGCTCAATTCAGACACAAGGACAACTGGACAGGGAGACAGTGGTAGCGTAAAAGAAACAGTGAAAGAGGTGGTAAAAGGAGCGAAGAGATGGTAGTAAGAGGGGGAACTAGTGTGTGGCGAGGCGACGCGTGCGCGTTACCCCGTTCTGCCGCAGCAGCAGCGCGAGCAGCTCCCACAGCAGCACGTAGCCGAGCGCGTCGTGCGGCGCCGCGCGGCGCGCCCAGCTCACGCGCGACAAGCAGTACTCCATCACGCTCTTCTTGTGCGTGATGCCTGCGCACGGACGCACGGACATACCGACACACACATATAGTATTTATTAAAATATGACTACATGTGGGTACATAGAAAATTTAAAGCTAACGAAATAACAAAATGGAGACAATAGCCATCTGCGAGCTGTCAAGTAGCTGTGCTTTCAAAAGAATGTAATATAGTAGAAAATTATGTGTAGATTAGTAGAAACCTTAATTCTCAGAAGTGGCCACACTCCAGAGAAACTATGAGCGACAAAGTGTACTTTTTCTTATGCAACTTAGAATGGGAATTAAGCTGACGGCTAACCTGATGGAAAGTGGTACCGTTCGTCTGTAGACACGAATAGTACCATGGACATAACAGAGTATACTGTTTCGTGTATTGTATGATGCCTACAGTGTATGTAGTCTTAGTGTAAGGGAACAATAAATGTATCTGTTCATGTTTGTAAGTGACAGCTCCCACGCTGTTTTGACACGTCGTTACCTTTGACTAGCGGTCCGGGGAAGGCGGCGAGCTCGGCGGCGTCGGAGGAGGCGGCGGAGGAGACGGCGGCGGCGAGCGACAGCACCTGCACGGTGGCGGGCAGCCCGTCCACCGGGTACGACGGCCGCACTACCACCACGTCGCGCGTGCCGATGTTACCCTGCACACACATTTTATATTATACAACGTACAAACATGCGGTGCACACTACTAGGCAATTTTTTAACAACCTCATTGCTAGCAATACACCCTATTAGGTCGATCTCCTCGTGGTTCCTCCTAGAAACCATAGCGGTTAATTCTTGTTCAATTGGTCACTATGACCTTCACTGGTACACCGCCAACGTATACCGATAGCGCAGACAGGGTTACCCTTTTTTTATACTACTTAGAACGGCAAATAAGCTGACGGCCCACCTGATGGAAAGTGGTAACCGTCGCCTATAGACATGAGCAGTACCATGGACATAACAGAGTATACTGTTTCGCCCATGATACCGTTGCCATTCCTGAGGACTCCTCTGTACCCAGTAAATTCACATCATATCCCACCCTTCAAACCGAAACACAGCCATGCAAACACAACTGCTTCACGGTTGAAACACGACGTTAAACGAGTTGCTATTCGTTAGTCTCGCTAAAACTCGAGAACGGCTGGACCGATTTGGCAAATTTTGGTCTTGAATTATTTGTGGTAGTCCAGAAAAGGTTTAAAAGGTGAATAAATATGAAAATTGTTAACTATCTTTCAGATTATTTTTATGTAGATTTTTTTTATTAATTATTTTTGTTTGTTTTAGGTTTATTTTATACAAAAGTTTAGTTATCTTTTATTTATCGATTCATTGATTGATTAATAAAATAAATATGTTAACGCATCACACGTTAATATAAGTATGAGCGGGGTGTACGTGGTGCAACAGTGGAGTGGTGGAGTGGAGGCCGTTACCTTGATGTGCGCGGTGGAGAACTTGAAGGGCGTCATGCGCTCCGAGCGCACGGTGGACTCCTCCAGCTGCAGGTTCAGCGACGCGTCCGTGTTCAGCTCCCTGCGCACACGCATCACACGTCACCAAAGCCATTTCACACATATTCGACGTATAATTAAAATTTCATAACAACTCATAGGATTACATTAATTTAATTTTAAATTAATATAAAAAAAAATTAAGTGTATAACAGTAATTAGTGATGTGCAGAAGCCATGAAATACGATAGTGTTGGATTAACATGAAACATGCGAATGCGAACCAGTTACTGTTTCGGTGTCATAGTAAATACTGGACAGTTGTTATAGGCCTGACCTTGCTTACCTTTGAGCAAGTTATATATTTCTTTGCTACCGTAGTGGTGTAAAAAAATATTACTTACTCAAAATAAGACGCCTTATACTACAAATAATACAATCAATTACAGCTAAAACACCCACGCTTGACAGTATTTATGTTTTAAAATTAAAAACATAAGCTGGTCAAAGGCGGCAGTATTTATAGTTGGTTTATTATCACACAATAATATTTATGTAGAACGATAATTCCTAATATTATTATTCATTAGCACTCAAAGATATACATTCCGTAAAAGCTCTAGGGATATAAGAAACAGGCTATTTACAAGAAAAAAACATGCATACAGATTTTCCTGGGACAATACAGCACATGGATACGAGTCATTAGAACCTGCGTAGGCGGTGAACTACCTAAACGGTAGTCTGTTATAACAAAACACATCGAGACAATGAACAAGCGCACGTACACGTGGAAAATTCGAACACAATTCTATCGTGTGCGCAGGTTTTTAAAGTGATTTAGTGCAGGAAGAAAGTTACTCATTTTATAAACGTCACGAAGTAACGGAGATATTCACTGAAATATAATATTCATTGCTTACGTTATATAGATAGAGTATCCAGCCTCAAAAACAGCTCAACTTTTGTCAACTAATTGTCAAATTAGCTGACTTTTTTTTTATCAATATTCTATATATATATTTATGCGTAAAATGTACCTTAACGTATTATTAACTAATTAAAATGAGTGTTTACGCATTAAAAAAATGCAGAATTTATAAGACAATATAAACATAGAAGTTATAAAGGAAACACTTGTGGTGAGATAATACTCACCAACGTTTATTATATATATGTATATCAACTTTTATAATTTAATTGGATTTTTATTAATCAAAAAATAAATAGACAAACTAACATTTTGTTATATATATATTTATATCACGACGCTTGGTCACGGCACTCACTCGCAAGATGCGCGCGCAGGTCGCGCACGGGCCAGCGACCAGAGAGTGTTTGTTAACTTGGACAATTTAAAAATTTATTGGTTTCATTGTAACATAATTATTGTTCTTTTTAATTATTGACTAAATTTATTTACAATATGAATTCTACACACTCGTAACTATTTACCATGCAAAATTGTATGAAAAAGTTGAGCCGTTTTTTCTGCAACACGTGTATGGAGACACTGTATGTATATAATGTAATATGAATCGGTATGTATCATCTATGTGGGTACCTGTCGGACAAGTCGGTGCGCACGGAGGGCGCGTCCCGGTGCGAGCTCGCCGCGCGGTACCCGCCGTAGTACCTACACGGCACGGCACGGCACGTCACGTCACGTCACGGCACGGCACGGCACCGCACCGCACCACACACGAGTGAGCAACCACTCTCACCCTCTCTCTCATACTTCTTTATACATAGTTACATTTACGAATTTTAAACAAGTCCACGGCCCACCTGATTCACCGTCGCCTATACATATGAAGCTCCATGAGGATAGGCACCATGGATTTTACAGATACCCATGATAGTGCTGATAAGGAGTGACTCACTATTGTACAGTTTTACTGCTGTATGCCCACCATTCAAAGCGTTACAAGCCCAGCTGTTCGGCGGCCGAAACACGAGTCGTACAGAGATACTCGATTGTACAAAGCTGTAGGAATACCACTACACGGTGAAGTCTTTCTATATTGTAAAGAGGTTTCTTCAGGGTCGGCAACGCGCGCGTAATACCTCTGGTATTGCAGGCGTTCATAGGCTACGGTAACCGCTTACCATCAGGTGGGCCGTATGCTTGTTTGCTACCTCAGTGGTATAAAAAAAAATTGTAGTTTGTAATTACCGTAATCAATTATTATTACTTTGTAATTAATACTATAAACCCTTCTTTAATTTTTTTTTTTAATATTATTATATTTTGTCCTTTTCTATGGGCTTCACTTAAAAGAATGAGAAAAAACGCAATCATAGATTTCTTGTATGATTTATATTTTCATTTGAAAAATGTAGTAAAAAATATCTTTTTCCTAAAACTATCCAATTACGAACAATTCTGAGAGCTAATTTAGTTTACGATGTAACTTTTAGATGATTGTTAATATGAGAGAGAATGCCGTGAGAGATGTTACTCACTTGTGTAATGTATTTGATGGTATGATGTCTTTGAAATTTAACTTATTAGAACCAAACAAATATAGTAGAGATCAAGTGATCATTTGTATAAACAACAAACATTCTGTATGAGTTTACTTTATAACAATACATTAACATGTGTTATTGGAAGAAATCTCGAACAATATAAGTAATAAACATAAAAACATAAAAATAAACAAATATGACAAATACTTGATCTCTACCAAATAATCACATTTGAATAGGTTTGCTGTGTAATAGTACATTACTGCAGCGGTCAGCAACTGATGCATTGATGGACGAACGTGCAATGTGGGCCGAGGCATAGCCGAGGCACACAAACGTGAGTCCGTCAATGTCTAGTTGTGGCCAAGGTTTGTATAGTACTTTTCTCAAACAATGCGCGGAAATCAAAAACACAATTTTACTTTTTAAGTTCAATGACGAATAATGAACAATAATAATTTTTCACGCGCCATAGTGTTCCTTTGTTTTTTTTTTTCAATAAACAGCTTTCTATTTGCCAGTTCGAAATTTAAATAAAACCTTTTATTAGTTACCTCCTTGGTAGCTATGTTACGAAGTAAAAGTCATTCCATTTTTAAATTACAGAACAGATATGAGTTTACATAGTAATTTATCTGGCCGCGAAACACGAAAGATATGGATTTTCATACAGCTTTTGCCGGCCGTTGCCCGCATGTATCTGACCAGTACGGCAATTTTGATTTATCTCAAAGAAGATTGTCAAAATAATGCTCACATTTCCAACCATGTTTGAGAAAAATATCTATTTATCTTATAGTCGTATTACAGAACATAACAATGTTTTATTGTTAAACAAATATATAATTTGCAATATTCTATTCAATGGATTCCAAAAGCACCAATGGGCGAAACTAATTGGGTGTTAAACGCTTGAAGCATGGTTTGTGAATATTCACTGCCAATTTTATCATACAGTATGTGCTGGTGTGTGTGTGTGTGTGTATATTTATATACGCGCTCTGATTCTGTGTGAAAGTGTGACCTTGATGGCATCCACTTAGAATATTAAATAAATTATTTAATATTAAATTAATAATTTAAATTAAATTGATTTAAATTTGATTTTATTCACATAACAAATATAGCTAGCAATATTTTAATATATATTATACCATATCCATTTAATTATATATCTGTGATTTGACTAAAGGAAACTGAAGATATTTTATAATTTTATTAAAAATTGTATTTGGCTTTTACGAGTTAATTTATGAAAGCACCTATATGAATATATTGGTTAAATATTTGTGTCAGTTTTTCATCGATAGAGAATCAGTCTCTGTCAAAGCTGTCAGTCCTATTGATAAATGGCGACCGTCGTTCATGAAAACTTGAACACAAAAGAAAGAAAGAGAAAATATTTATATTCAAATAAACTTATATTTAATCATTTTAATTCGGTAATAAAAAAAGACTATTCATTTCTATATGAATATTATTTGTCTTTTTTCATTATCGAAACAAAAAATTAGAAAAGAAATAGCTAGAGACTTTTAACTGACCTTTTCATTTGTATTTTTTGAAAGTAATTTCTTATTAACAAGCTCTGACCTTAATACGATAAAATTAGGTTTAAATTCTTTGTTTGAAATAATGTCATCCTTGTAGTAGTTGTGTAACCTCACCGCGTGGTGTGTTCGTGAGGCAGCGTGTGTATGCGTGTGTATGCGTGTGCGTGCGTGTGCGTGCGTGGGTGCGTGCGTGTGTGTGCGTGCGACTCACGTGTCGGTCTTGAGGTCGTTGGCGCTGGAGCGGCCCGAGTGCACGCTGCCGCGCTCCTCCGCCTGGTAGTCGCGCAGCGACATCAGCCCTGCAACGCGCCACCACAACATCGCATCAGATAACACCAACCATGTACAGTTTTTGCTTTTTAGTACCCATCAATCCTGTACGTTTCGACTGGATAATTTATATTTCCTAAATTAGCTAGATATTATATATTTTAAAACGATAACAGTCGAATTTCTTACGGATACTTCACGATCGATAACTGAAACCCAATGGTAGAGTTAAGAGTGACAGGTACAGTCTAAATACTCGTGCTCAAGTGTATATACCTTTCGCAAGGAAATCGGGCGGCGGCGGCGGCGGTTGCTGCCCGGCCATGAGCTGCTTGTAGACCTGCATGTAGGCGGCGGGGTTGGTGAGCCGCAGGTGCTCGTAGTACTGGTACTGCTGCCGCTGCACTGCGTAAGGGTCATCGTACACGCCGCTCCCGTACCCTGCGCACGCGCACACACTCACTATTAACATTTTCCTTATTAATATTTAATAATAATAAATATTTACTGCTATAAATAATAAAACAATGTACCATATTATTAACTCTATCACACGGTTTTTCATTCATTCCTATTTAGGAGCTGCGCTCTTGTCGGTGGAGCTCTTGCCACTCACTACGATATCAGCGAGTCTCTTCACCTCTTGATACGACACGACACCAACTTATTCCTTGATCTGCCCGATATAACTAAGCCTCGGTCTCCCCTTCCCCTTTTTCCTTATATCTTACATTTTATTATAATTTTCATAAGTTCGTCGTGTCGTATCAACGCGGTTTAGCCCGTATTAATTAAAATTAGTCTACAATGGGCTTGTTTTTGTGCACTTAAAGAAACTCATTCAAATCTTGCTTAGATTGGAATAAATTTTTTTAAACGTGATTTTTTGTGATTGTCCGAAATGAGGAGGAGGTACTATGGATATCACAAAACACTGCGACAGGTCGCAAAATACGTCCTCGTATAGGTTGGTATTGGCGGAGAACTGAAGTACGCACCGTCGTAGTATGCGCGCGAGTGTCGCGGGCGGCGGTGGCGGCGCTCGCGGTCGTCGCCGCGCGGCTCGCGGGACTCCGCGCGCGACGGCGACTCGTACTCGCCTGCGCACAAGTACCACATCCAGTGAGACGCATCTATCTTTGTAATCCTTCCCATTAGGTGCTGTTGCACCGAAACAGATTCCACTACCTTTGCGAATTCGACTCAAAGTAAAAAGTTAATCTTTAAGTAAAATATATCAATTTGGCGTCGCCCGTGGCATTCAACTGCGGCAACTCATTGTCAGTGCTCCCCTATGCAATACAAGGAACTCCTGTGCAAAATTTCATGCTTCTAGACCCAAGAGTTAATGGTGTTCGCTTCGCCTGTCAGTCATTCGTCAATATTTTAATTTTATTGAGTAAAGTCTGGGATAAAATAAATACAAATCAGAGAGCAAGTGTAAATGTACACGAGTGCATTGCCTAGTCCCTACAGAAAATGTAGTGACCTAGAACCTAAATACTTCCTCCCAGATGCTCATAGAATCGTTTAGATAGACTAAAGTCTCCGATAGATGAGAAAATGTATGAACTCAATACAGTTTGATGTGTACCCACTGGTACTAGCACTAGAAACCATTTTGAAACCAAAAAAGATGAAAATACAGTTAATTAAAATTCAGACCAATTAGCACTATATTATGTGTGGAAAGCGAATATATCACGAGCAAATCTTGTAAGCTGTCAGTGTGTCAAGTACAAACAGGTGGCATGCATGTACATTATACGAGATATTATGCATGTGGCGTGTGCGATCACAGCACGCTGCGAGACACACAACATGGTCAGTGGCCAGTACCTTCTCTCCTACCACTATCACTAGATTTGGCATCGCCCGAGAACGTCACAACTGGAAAAACAAATACAACATCAGCCGTCTGTCGGTGTGTCCAATGCGGAGTAAACAAATAAGAACATATTTATACATAAGGGGGAAAGGGATTGTTAGTAATGAAGTTTGACAGCCCCATTGCTAGCAATATTAGCTCGACCTCCACGTGGTTCCCCCTGGAAACAATCGTGAACAATTCTTGTCGAATTCGTCACGATGGGCTAACTGATCTGCTTCATCCTCACTTATCATCCTTCACTGGCGCCCCGCCGGTGTATACCGATAGCGAGGGTGGCGTTACCATTCCATTATCACCCATAAAAAAAATATAGATATCTGAAATATAATATTATAGCTTTCTAGAATAGTTTGTATTAACTTGACCACTTTCCGATGGGAATCGTACAAGCATACTGACCTCTCCTGCGTTCCTCCTCGTCCCTGTCCCTCTTCAGGTTGCCGTACTTCCTGGAGGGGTCGATGTCCCGGTATCTGCGCTCGCCGTAGCGGTCACGGTTGCGGTCGCGGTCGCGGTCACGCGGGCGGTCGCGGCGGCGGCTCGTTCCGTCGTGGTTGTCGTCGTAGCGGCGGTCGCGCTCGATGGTGTGGTAGCGGCGGCCGCGGTCCCGGTCCTCGTAGCGCCGCTCCTTGTCGTCGGGCCGAGGGGGTTTCGACGACGTGTACGAACCCTCTCTGTAACGTCTATACGACACAAGAAGCCCCGATTACCGATTGAATTTAAGTATTTTGATACGAGAGTACTTATGACAAAGCAAAGAGCTATAGAAAATTTATAAGAAATCCTAAAACAACAATATTGGGGGGAAAAGGATTGTTAGCAATGGAGTTTGACAGCCCCATTGCTAGCAATATGCCTTATTAGGTCGACCTCCACGTGGTTCCCCCTGGAAACCATCGTGAACATTTCTTGTTGAATTCGTCACGATAGGTTAACTGACCTGCTTCATCCTCACCGATCCTTATCTATCCGATCCTTCAGTGGTGTCCCGCCGGTGTATACCGATAGCGCGGGTGCATAGCATCCATTAAAAAAAAACAACAATATTATTTATAGATGATCTCAATAGGTATCGCTAAATTTGTATGGATAAACTAAACAAAAATGTTGCAAAAACTACCTTTCCTTTTTAACAAGTATTGCACAATAATTGCATGATCGACGTTTTATCATACTGTACAATTTTACTACTCAAAAATACGCATTGAAATTCCCATTACCATGTTAGCAATGCGAATAATACCTGTTTCTCCACTTCATTTGTTGTATTTATATGCATTTTAATACATATTTATGTACAATAGTAATATCAGTTTATTGTAGTGTCTATGTCAATCCATAAGTATATTTTGTTTACATAACTTTGATAATGAAGTCATATACATAAAAGGGTTATATCTACAGATGGGCAAAGCACCGGGTTTAAACCCGGTGCTTTGGTAAAAACCCAATAAACACCCATAAACTCCCATAATCACCCAAAAAAATAGGTTTTTACGTATTTTTTTGAAAATATGTAAGTAATACTAATAAATTATTTTTATAAATTGTATTGATCAATTCTACAATATTAAATAAAACGTTAACTAATAATATTTCAGGAAATTTTAAAAATCTATATATAATAAAATGAAAGTAATTAATTTTCAGTGTTTTCATGTTGCAGTTGATCAACATGTTGGCCTTTTGCTTCCCGTAGATACTTTAAAATTTCTTCATAACACCTCGTTCGCACACATGGCCGTATATATTTAAATTCTTGAGCCACTAACAGTCCGAAATACTCATTTCTTTTATCCTCTTCTCCATAAATTAAGCATTTAGAACAGTTTGTTTCTTCTTTCAGTAAATTTTCTTTTACTTTATCCTCGTTTGTTTTCGTTGTTGCGACGACGCTGGGTAAATCATCTGGACACTGGGTCTCACTATCGCCAAATATATTTGGAGATCGGCTTCGGCTACGGCTTGGCAGACATTTTTTTCTTTCTACAATTTTAAATTAAATTTATTAGAATAAATGCTTCGAACACACGCGATCTAAGTACCTTTTGTGTTTATTATACCTTACCTACCTAGGTATAAAAAGAGTACTTACGTAGATTTTCTTTTATTAACTGTTTTATACGAAGATCTTGATCTCTCAAATTAGCATCCATTTTACTTCCAGTGATTATCAACTAAATTAATAATCCACAAAGTATTAAATAACGTTTTTATGAAATATTTAGCACAAAAACAATACCCTTTAAATATCGATCGTCAGTAACTGTGGCTGACTTACCTATATTCTAGCAAGCAGGACTGCCAGATGTGAAGGGGAAATCCCCAATAAATTGTTGCATGTGACTGATGATGTGAGCATGTTCGTTTCATAATAAAAATGTTGCCAGGTAACCAAAAAGTCGTATGTTTTTGTGCGAATTACGATCATAATCTTTACGATCGTACATTAAAAAATAGACAAATAATAGTATGAGTACGATTTAAATCGTATATCTGTCAACCCTGCTAGCAAGACAGCGACAAAATCACGTTGCATAACAATGTAGCCCAAGCTTATATCTTATGAAATATACGGAAGAGATACGGACTTAGAAAAAACAGAAATGTTGTTCTTTGTGGAAGTCATTGATGAAATTCTATGTATTTTAGCCCGCAAACTTTCTTCAAACAAAAACAGCGCCATCTAGTATCGAGTTCTGTAATTATCTCTTTGTTTATGGATTTGAAGTAAGACCGCCACGCATGCAATACATTATGACTGGGGATTCCCCTATTCGTCGACGCTGAATATGAGGCGACGACAATCACTGTCAAACGTGTTCACTATTACTCTGACTCTGGTAACGTGACTTCCTGGTAACGTGTTAGGTAGGAAAAGCAGTAAAAAAGTGCATATTAAGGGAGCAGATTTGAAATAATATTTATACTTAACAAGAAATAATTAAAGGTAAGTGGATTTTTGAATGATACAATTATATCATGATCACTTAACAATTTTAACTTAAAATTAGATGTATTATTACAAGCTTTTATTTAGCTTGCGTTATGTAAATAAAAGTATGTAGGTATGTTCGTATGTTGATGCAATTATCCTCAATCCTCAACCGACTGGGATAAAATTTTCCATACACGTTTATTTTGGATGATAGTGCATAGTTAGCTGAGAGTCGTCATTGGATAATAATGGTGGATAGCCTAAGATGTGTACTAGATATTTATTTTTAACATAATATGCGTAAGTACCTAATCGAATTAAAGAAGTTGCTGAGAAAAATACAGAACAATACGATAATAAACTAGCGTCTGCGTTTAATCCTCCGAGGAGATGTAATTTTACAAAGGTTTTTTGTATTTATTTTATTATTTTTTTAATAAATTTATTGTAAATAACAAGAAATAATCATTGTAAAAAAATAGGCACTCTATTGTTGAATTTTCGTCAGACCAACTAATCATCGTTCATTTTTTTAGGTTCAATGGGGAGACCTAAAGATTTACGCATATGGGAGCACTACCGTACTTTACCAAACAAGTCTGTTTCTTGCAAGCTTTGTAATAAGGTCTACAAATTCAGTAATGCTGCCAAAATGCTTCAACATCTTATCACTTGTCCAAAATCTCCAGAAACATTAAAAGACTCTATGAAACTTATAAAAGATAGCTCGTCCAAAACCAAAATGTCTGGACTGTCAGAGATAGAGACAAATGATTCTTTTATAAGCCCCTCGTCGTCTGCTAACACTACAATAAATGCTGAGTTTCAAGACACCGATGATCATATAAAAACAGAATTAGCGAGAGCTATATTTGTAACAGGGACGCCATTATCGATGGTGCAACATCCTTTATGGATACAATTTTTCGAAAAATTGCAACCAAAATTTAAAATACCTTCACGTAAAGCTTTAGCGACAAAATACTTAGATAAAATATATAGAGAAATGCGTTTTGAGTTAAATGAGGAACTAAATGCTTGTAGTTACTTACACCTTCAGTGCGATGGCTGGTCTAATTTAAGAAATGAAGGAATAATAAACTTTCTTATATCAAAACCTCAACCTGCATACGTTAAAAGTTTGAATACAGAAAGTAATCCTCACACTAGTGAATACCTTAGCCAAGAAGTTGAAAAAGTAATGAAAGTGTATGGAGCAAATAAGTTTCTTGTACTTATTGGCGATAACGCTAGAAATATACAAAAGGCATTCGAATTAACAAAACTCAAATATCCACATGTTGTTCCTCTCGGTTGCTGTGCACATATCCTTAACTTGTTGTGCCAAGATATTGTAAAGATACAAGAAGTAACTGTGTTTATTATGCAAGCCATAAATATAATAAAAACTGTTAAAAGGAGTCAACGATTAAGTTCCTTGTTGATAAAATCAAGGCAGGGTGAAGATTCTACACAAACACTAAAATTGCCTTGTGCTACAAGATGGGGAAGTCATGTTACTTCGTTAAAAAGTTTGAAAGCAAATAAGATAGCTTTGCAAATATTAACAGTTAGAGAAGATGTGGTAATTTCAAGAGATATTAAAGATTTAATTCTAAGTGATGATTTCTGGACGAAGACAGGGGAATGTATAAGTATTTTGGAACCAGTCACTGAAAGCATATTTTACTTAGAGAGCGACCAGAATCGTTTGCATCGCACATACATTACATTTAGAGATGTACAAGCTAAGATACGTTTTGCATTAAATGAGATTTCGACATTGAGCGAAGAAAGCAAACAGCAGATTCTAACATCAGTATCTTCAAGATGCAATATGGCAATGAGGCCAATACATTTTGCAGCATATATTCTAGACCCCAGGACTCTAGGAGTCGAACTTACTCAAGAGGAAGAACTTAAGGGTATGGAGTTTATCTACAATTTAAGCCAACACTTAAGTTTGTCAAATGTAATGGCAGATTTGGCGTGTTATAAAGCTAAAGAAAACTTTTGGGCCAGAGGATTTGTATGGAGCTCATTAGATAGCATTGAGCCCCTAATATGGTGGAAAGGTATTTGTGGTTCCACTGAGTTAAGCAAAGTAGCGATTCGTATTCTATCAGCTCCCTGTACTTCGGCAGCCACTGAGCGTTCCTTTAGTATCCAAGGCTACATACATAATAACAAAAGAAATCGACTTACAACTGAAAGAACTGAAAAAATTTCATTCATTTGTTATAACTGGAATCTTAAACATAAAGCTGAATGCGAGGACATTCAGTTTAATGAAGAAAATACCTTAGAAGCTTTCATTGAGCAAGTAAATGAACATAACAGTTTAGACGAAATAGAGCCTATCGAACCTATACAATTCATCGCTTGTAATAACTCTGAATCTGACAGTGATTGACTGTAGTTTTACATTTTACTTTCATCTCTTTCTTAATAAACTCAAAATCAAATTAAAAGTTTTTTATTCTGTAGGCTGCATAATAATATTGTCTATGTCCAGTATACTGGACGTCTTGCGGCTGAGATGACGATGATGAAGTACAAAATCATAAACACCCAAAAATTTGGGTGTTTATGGGGTTTAAACCCAATAAACCCAAAACACCCGGTTTTTACCCACCAGACTTTAAACCCACCCAGGTGGATTGCCCATCTCTAGTTATATCTAGCAATAGAATATGCTAATTTAACATTTAGTTTTTTTTTAATTAGACATAGATGTACCAGAGAGCGACTTTGTACAAAAGTCGTTTTCTTAGGTACCTTTGCTTCATTCGTGTTTCGGTTTGAAGGGTGGAATGTGGCAGTAACAGGGTACAGAGGAATAACACCTGAGTCTTCAGGAATGGCAACGCATGGGGGGTATCATGGGCGAAACAGTATACTCTGTTATTTCCATGGTACTGCTCATGTCTATACGCGACGGTTACCACTTTCCATCAGGTGGGCCGTCAGCTTGTTTGCCATTCTAAGTTGTATAAAAAAAAAGGTTAACTTAAAAATATTACAAATATGTATCAACTTTAAATAGTATTACTTAATCATTGCTGTCAATATCTGAACTGTAGCAACATGGATTTTAATTATTTTATATATTAATTAACCGGACTTTATGGACACTCATTATTATACATGGTTTCTTTCATACATGTACTTGTATTACTTGCACACACCCACTCTAACTCGCCTACCTCGCTTTGGAATCAAAATTTTTGTTTGTATAAATAAAATCCGTTATTGGCTGTATTCATAAGAGACTTAGCATGTAAGTTGTGGTTTTAAGAGCTGTGGATTTTTGTATAAAGTAAATAAAAAAAACTTTACCTTCGTTCCTTTTCTCGGTCGCTGTAGTAGTCAGTGTCCTCCGTTTCATATCTGTGGCTCCTGGCGCTGCGCCGATGACGGCGAGAGTCTGGACTCTCGTCCCTCTCTCTCTTGTCACGTTGTTTGTCTCTTTCTCGCATGTCTTTCTCTGACCACCTGTCGTCTCGCGCCGATCTCCTGTCAGGATCTCTATCATATTTCCTATCACCTCTAGAGTATCTTCCTTCCTTATCCCTTTCCCTATCACGATCCCTAGATAATTTATGTCTATCTCGCCTTGGAGACGATTTGAATAACCGATCCCTCTCTGAATCGTCACCAGAAGTATTCACATGGTTTAGCGATTGTCTTCTCGAGCTACTTGCTGGATTTTCAATGGAATCTGAAGCATCAGTTTTCCTGTCAATTCCAGTATCTGTTATGTTCTCATCAGCACCATCCAATGTTTGTTCCCTGGAGAATGTCAGGTCTGTAGATGATATTGCACTCAAGTCCTGCAAATTTTCACCTTCCATAACTACCTCCCTTTGTTGCTCCTCTGGTGCAGCATTAAAATCTGCAGATATGTCTGTATCCCGTACTCCTATGATATTCCTTGGAGCATTTCTAAGACTTTGATCGGTATAATCAGATCCGTCAACATTCTGCTCTCTAATATCTGATGGCCCAGCATCTGTTGAAATTGAGTAATCATGATCAACACCTGTCACAACCCTTGGTTCATTGGTACCAGCATAATTAGAGCTTGGATACTGAGAATATTCAATGTTACTTGATTCACCAGGCACCATCCTGTCCAATCCAATAGGCCGCCTCTCATTACCTCTGGAAGGTGGAGGCTGACTATAGTTGTCAGATGTCTGCTGACCATCAGCCTGTCTATAAGGCCTTCCATTGCCATCAGTGGGTTGGCCATCTATATGTCGATCTAAATAATTATCATTAGGTTGATTATACACATTCTCCACCTCAGTTTGTTGACCGGGGACCATTCTCGTGAACCCTGGTGGGGGCCCATCAGTAGATATATTGATATTTTGATTGTACTCAGATTCTTGTTGTCCTAATACCATTCTCTGCAGTCCAGGTGGAGGCATGGTGCGACTGAAATCAGTATTTTCTCCATAGTCCCCACTGGATAGATGTGCTGTTTGCAGATATTCATTTCTATCATTTTTTGGTGCCACTTCCAAGTTTTCGGGAACTTGTTGGGCAATGGGCATCGGCCTAAAAGGCAATACCTGTGGTTGGTCAGGTCGCTCAGAATTATCAGGAGTTGTTTCTAAATTTGCACTAAAACCAACCGGTACTCGACTATGCTGCGAGACTTTGTTTACAACAGCTGGGGATGTTAGACTAGCACTTGAAATTGGGGCAGAAAAAGATTGGCCTGCTGCTAAATTACCAGGGGACGCTTTTGATATATTTTTGTGAGATATAGGTCCTGCACTTTTGAATGGATTTTGAGATGTTACAGCAGGAGGGAAATTAGTTGGTGGCATAGATGCTGATGCAGATGGAGGAGGAGGCAATGACATGGATGTAGGAGGCACTGGTGGTACATTTGAAGATGATGCAGATGGTGGCCGTGGCACTGGAGAGGGCTGTTTCACAGCTGCACTGTGTAGTAGATTAGTGGGAGAAACTGCAGGAGGTGGTTGCAGTGTATTTTCTGGTTTATTATCCACATTTAATTCTGTACCAGTTAGAGAATTAGGGGCAGGATTTTCACTATTAGTTATACTCATCTCTTGCAGAGAAGCAGAAAGATCGTCATTACTCTCTTGTCTGCTGTCGCTCAATACATTATCTACTAAAGTAGGCTCTTCTACTGAATTCTTTGACCAGTCCTGATTCTGGGGATAACTGTCATCAAGGCTCGGCTGAGAATAATTAAAATTAGAATTATCTGTATTAAGACCAGGACTACTTTTATTAGAATTTCTAGATTGATTTTCACTTCTATATGTACCTTCAGAATGAGTATGCGGTCCATCACTAGACTCTTGAGACATTTGTGATTCTATTGACCACTGAGGTGTAAGATTGTCTAAATGAAAGCGCTTTCCAAGTGCCAAATTAGGCAAACACTCCTTAACTATTTCTTTATCATTCAATGTCTTCACTTCCTCGATAGAGTGAGCACTAACATTTTGAGCATTTGCCTGAGTGACTGAATTATTCTCAAAAGGAGGATTATCAACAGGCAATGTTGCTGGATTATTCTGCTGAGTAGGAGGTACTGGTGGTTCTACAGCTTCCTTCTTATCCTCCATTGCCCAGTTCCAACCATCAGTAGTTGCAAAACTTTCTTCAATAACATTTGCATTGTTGTAAACTTGTTGTGTTTGTTGTTGTGGTGGTGGCTGCGCTGTCATTTGAGTCGTGTTCTGTATAACACCTTTCTGAGCCTTAGATGAATCTTCCCAACCCCAATCCCAGTTGTCATCCCACCCGTCTGCGCCATGATTGTTCTGGGGATAACTTTGTTGTTGTATCCCTTGATTCTGGTTTGGATAGTAACCTTGTTGATAGCCTTGCTGATTGCTTGTACCAAAAGACTGGCCAGAATAATTTTGGCTATACTGTGGAGGTGGCTGTTGTTGGTAAAACTGATTGGCATTCATGGCATAATCTGATGGCTGCTGGTATGTCTGGCCATACTGTTGATTGTATTGGGCTTGCTGTTGTGGTGGTGTTTGCCAGTACTGCTGTTGCGGAGTATTGCTTGAAGAATAATTTGGATACATACTCTGCTGATTCCCAAAAGCCTGAAAGGACAAATATTTCATTTCAATAAATTTTATTTTGAGTAATAATGAATTTACATTAATTTCAGTATCAAGTCAATTATGAAAGAAGTAAAGGTTCTCATAATGTATAACTTTCGAAACTCAGAATAAAGAAGTAAGTATCAATAAATGGTCAATAAGTCCATTTGAATATGGATTGTTGTTTATCTCTTCAATCATATGAGAATCCGAAACTATTTCGTTTTGACAGACCATAGGAACATACAACTAATAGTATTATATTTGCAATAAACAGGAGTGTTTATCAATCACAATATGATTTTGTTGGCTTGTGACGCGGTTGGTCCACGTCATTGTTTACGTCGCGAGAGGTGTCAGTGCGACGGTGCTCACCTGAGCCCGGGGAGGCTGCGGCGACTGGCCCGGGGCGTAGCGCGGCTGCTCGGCGGGCGGCGGCGCGCCCCCGGCCCGCTTCATCCACGACATGCCGAGCGCTACCACCGCTTACGTAACATTGGACACAGCCGCTCACATATGCTACCACAAATTGCGACGAACGACCCGTCACTGTGCTACATGGAACCGGACCACACGAACACTTTCACTCTCGATTTTCAACAACGTCACACTCTACACTCTAATCGAATAGAACTATTACAACGAATAGCATATAAGAGAGGCTCAAATTAACTCAACTGACTAACTACGTCTATTGTTACTTTTATTTTATAAATATTTCAAAGAAATTTTTGACAGCAGTCCATCGATCGAAGGTGCCCTGTTGGCAGTGTCGCCATATTAATTTGTTTATGCTAAAGTGCCAAACAAAATTTTACTGCTAGTCATTTTAATTTTTCATATTACTAGTTTAAACAATTGACTAAATAAATAATTGATTAATGTAATTCTAATATTAAATTATATTTGAGCTATGGAAAATCAAAGTGGATTGTCTTATTATTATTGTTAAACATTGTTTTATGCATAAAACGATCAGTAAAATAATTCAAAGTTAATTTCAGCTCTAAACTAGGTGTACAAATATTTCCATTTAGAGAAGCGAGCAAGTAAGTATTGATTGACATTAGAAATGGCTGCTTACAACTAATTTCTTTGCTTTGAAAATAAATTGTAAAAAAAAAAACAAAAAAATCTATACACTGTGTAAAAACTGTGTATTCTGCACTGTGTGTGTTGTGTGTATAACTAGTTCTATACTAGTTTACTATAAATTGACAAAAATAGCAACTGATGTGTATCTTTCATTATCTTTTTTCTAATAACATTTGCGTAAAAAGAAAGGAGACAACCATATGATTTACAGTTTCTATTTTATTAGTTCTTCTATGTAGTTCCTTGTTCATAGATTTAAAAAAATGACACTTCCTACCACAGACAAACAAAGTGTAAACTGTAATTCCTTGTTCTTAGGTGTAAACAGCCCCTGAAAACATAGAGCAAGTAATCACTACGTTATAAGAGTTGGCACCAATCTTATATCAACGGAATTTGGAGAAAGAAAAGAAATGAATGTTACCTTTCCGAAGTAATAATATAATAAAAATTAAAAAAAATAACAAACCAAATGATTATTCTTAATGTTGTTGTTAAGGTACAAAATAGATATTAAAAAACTCTTTAGTGAAATTAAAAAATAGAAAAAGAAAAATATTATTGCCTAGTGATCTTTGTCATGTTTTTATGAATTGACTTTTGTCTAAAAAACTGCCTTTACAAATTAAATAATATTTTAGAGTGTGTTGTGTTTATTATAAATAAACTGTCAAATTACTTGGACTAAGGACTAAATCTATTGTGTATTGTGGAAACAAGTGCTAATACTACCTTTACGCTGATCTATCTTTCCATGTATTCTTCTTATTCATTACTTCTTACAAGATAGGTATTCAGCTGCAACTCTAACAGGTGTACCATGACCTATACATGCCTGTTATATCATATGTTATGCCATACATCGACTGTTGCCTTAAAAAAAAAAACTAGTTATATCATAATATATTTTTTTAAATTTTACGAAATACAGACAATGAAACAATTACCTATATTTGGTTAATTTATTTTACTATACTATAAATTTTAATCAAATTATTTTGACAGGCGAGTAATACAAATTCTCTTTTGCGCATTAAACAATAGTTGAAAGCATTGTGCCGAGACAAACAAAATCTAAAAAATAAACGTATGCAATTAAGTACATACCGACGCGAAATTTTATATTTGGTATTTTTGATAAAAACTGGCAGTAGTTCAATCGATTGTCCTAATTTTTTATATCAACTCTCTTTACGTGTCTTAAACAGACCATTTAGATCCAATGTTACCTTATTTCTTCCATTTGTTTTCCCTAACTATAGAGAAATTCATATCTCTGGCGTATAAGCTATAATTTTAATAAAATATCTAAAGATTTTCGTTTATATATAATTCTAAGACAGAATCCGCAAGACGTGCTGTTTCAGTAATGAAGAACCTGGTGAAAGTGAAGCTTATCATATTAGATTTCAACTTTTTACTTTGCATAACTGCCTATCTGTAATATTTGTACTACTATAATGTTGTTACTCTAAGTTTAATTTGGTTAATTGTAAGTATTAACAATGTCATGTGCATTAGTTAAAATTTGTTATCGCAGGCGGCGAACCATACCATTATCACGCATTAAAAAAATCACTTATGCCTTTTAAATTGCTCTACCGACTAGCTTGTCCACTATAATACATAATTTTAAGTATTATTTATGTTCGTAATATAAAATTACTTATAATTAAATTTCAGTTTACATCGATAATTAGTATGAACCATGTTAGGAACAACACTGTTGGATTTTAGTTAATTTTATGAGATCAGAAATAATTTAATATAGCGTAGAAATTAGCTTGGCTACTATATACTTATAGTTTATAATAGCCGAGAGACGCACTTCTGGACGAAGTCAAAACAATAGTCGGAAACGACAATTGTTTTGACAGACGGTAACACATTTTCTTACAAAAATATCATTCCGACAGCGATGTTCCAACTATCGCAGGCCTGAAATAAAATAAATTAAGTATCTGTGAATGTGATAAAGACGTGGGCAATCTAAATCATATTCGCTTTTCCTGGTCCTTGTATCATTCCTTACTTATTAAATTTCTCATTTCATTAAAAAATCTCTTTCTACTTCCATTTTATGTCTGTTAGCTCGTTATTGCCCTTTGATCTATAACTCCTTAACCTTCTTTATTTTTCATAATAATATCAAACTAAAACTATCACTAATGCCAGGATTCCTTACCGTTCCTTTTTATCCCGTGTCGTATCTGTTTGTTAGTGGCATGATGGGCAACACTAGTCCTTTGCAAAATTAAAAAATCCATGGATATTCATCTAAATGTTTTTTAAGCCAAAAGAAGAAAAAAATGTTATTAGAGATATATTTTTTTTATTTTTTCTTTACAGTTACTTCGAAAAGGTAACATACATTTCAATTTCCAGGTTCCGTTGATATAAGGTTAATGCTAACTCTTGTAACTTAGATATTACTTTCTCATATTTCGTTTCATTGATACTTATTTAAAATACATATTTATATTAGGGTAATTGAAAATTGCACAAATGAATGATCTCTTTATTTATAAAAATGGCGAAAAGAGCAAATCCATTTACAGAAGACTTTATGCCTCAAAGTAAAATTCATGTTGGACTGAAACAATTCAATAACAATGAGGATAGATTGCAAAAAGTATATGGTACATACATATATATATTTATTTATTACAATTTGATTTACTTTCTATTAGTTTTTAGTGTATAATATTAAAAAACATCATACCGTAACGTCTTTGCAGAGAAAACTTTAGATCTTTTATTCAAAGGCGCTAAAAAGCCTATTACACATGACTTAATAGAAGATTCGAATATGACCGTTTTAAAGAGGAAAGACAATATGAAACAATTAGTTATAGGGAAAAACGGTAATCTTCTTCACTCGAGTAATGTGGTAAGTGTTATTATTTAGATGTGATTGCTATAACAAATGGTATACTATGTTTATATAATTATTAGATCAACTAATGATTATATAGTATTTAGCATGAAGTACTACTTCTATTCTAATGTAAACCATGTTAAATTATGGCAATGTACTATGAAAGTGGAAACCATTGACTTTAAAAGTAAACCTTATCAGCACAAAATATATTGTTGTGTTGCCACTTGAATACTTTGTACCTAACAGATATATAAAAAAAATTGCTTCAAAACTAACCTAGGCCTTGCCAGTTGAATTAGTCATGCACCTAGATTCATATTTCAAAAATGACCATGTATTGTTACTATAAAAGTCACACTGCAACAAACTTGGATGAATGGTTTGTTGATAAGAATTATTTTGTCATTTTGTTGCTGTTAGTAAGCATGCAACTGCCAATATTTGAGGAATGACTATTATTATTTTACTAGAAAGTCATAGGACCTCTACTAATAATAATAATAATCGATAATCCTCAAATGTTGGCAGTGACATATACACTAATGGTAGCGGAATTAAACAAAATGATTCTAATCAATTAACCTGTATATGTAACAAAGTTGGATTCATATTTTATAGGAAGCACAGAAGAGTGCAGGTGCAATAAAATGCAATTGTAGCATTGAGGCAGAGTCCAGCTGCGCTTACTGTGAGAGGTCCCTGTGTGTGAGCTGCCAGCGTCAATGTGTCCGGTGCGACCGTCCACACTGCTCTCACTGTTCACTCACTGGGTAATATACTATACTATTTCACCAGTCCATTTATGTGCTGATTTATGGCTGATCAAATTATTACCTTGTTTGCTGCATGATGCTGACACTGAATCCATTAAACTGATCAATAATAAAGTTACTTTTTATGATAAATATACTTTAATTAATTTACAATTATTGTTGATATGTACTCATATATACCTATATATTTTTACAATTAAATTTTCTTTTCAGATCTGAAGGAGCAGTTGTCTGTGTGTCTTGTTATGGTTAAATAGTTTATAATTCATAGACAAATTGTTATTTAATTGATAGTGTAGTAAATAATTGTAATTTAGGGACTCGAAGCAGATAACTTGTTATTATTAAATTTAATGTGAATAATTAATTATTAATTGTTGCAATGTTTTGTAAGTAACAAAGAATTGAAATGAAATAACTCTCAGTAATAGTATTATTATTATTTATATAAAATACATAACAAAATTATAAATCAAACATTTCATTCAACACAGTGCCAAGGAAAATTTCCTATAGATCCAAATGTTATTGTTCCTTTCATATTTATATATTAAAACTATTGGCAATAGTATATAACTATGGTTTCATAAATTATATCAAGTGGGTGACCGTTGATCCATGGACGAGTATGCAATCAGGGTGAGAGAGAAAGAGAGCCAATTACCAATAGATAATACTGAAAAACACTTGTAGGCTGTAACCAGACTGTACAGTGATCATCATTAATAAGCTAATAGCCATATCTTAGTTAAGCAAATACAGATTTTTAGTTTATGGCTTCGTTATTAAACCAAAACTCAAAGGTTAGACTAGTTATTCCAAACAACTGTAGGGTGTCCATTTCACTATATATTTCACATCGGTTAATTAATTTACAAAATAATTATTGGGAACATTCTATTTATTTTATTATATTTGTAATCACCTGATTGACATTAGGAATTACTCATCACATGCATTATTTACTCATCACCATATATAATATACTCGACATGATTAAATTTACATACGTATTGGGCGCCCCCAAGGACCCATCATCTAATATACACATAAATTAAATGATATATCTAGCCCTGGAATTTATAATGCGAACACAAGTTGGCGGTAGTATGAAATAATTTTCTCATTGTACGTTTAATCTTATATCCTTCATTTTAATGCTAAAGAATATATACTAAACAAGGAATCGGTTTTTAATTGTTACATATATGGTGTTGTATATACACTTCATAATCTTTTGACACGAGAATCATAATTTGCCGCAGTATCATAATTTGACGATTTCTGTAATGTACACACAAAGTGTTTGCAGAAATAAAAAAATATGATCGCCTAGTAGCAATCCCATGGATCAACGGTTTAAAATCAGGTACACATGCGGCCTACCTCTTGTTTTTTTTTTCACTTTAAACTTATTTAGCTGTCTGCATTCCGCCTTTGTCATTATTACGTCAATTATGAAACATTTTAAAATTCTAATTACAATTGATGAGTTGCAGTTATCTCATATTACTTTTTGTGGTTTGAGTGACGTGTGCGATTACTGTGAGGAAACATTTCAAAAGGTTATCACTACGAAGTAGACTTAGTGCTCGACGAGGCCGCCGGGCCGCATGTGTACACGTCGTATATAGTGTATTGGGTCACGCTGACACTGTTACCAACATTATATAAATGTAGGCGGCGGTGTCGATGTAACTAAACACCACACACGCCGGTGCATTCTGTATTTGAAGGCAATTAAAATGGCGCATGTAGCAGCAGGTCGCCACATCGACTAACATGTTTCAAAATGCACGCTTACAAAAGCCGTTTATTACGTACGTGTAATCAGTCATTCATAAACTATGAGCACCGAGTACGCTACACTTGTAATCACATTAATGCAACTGAAAGACTTTTAAATGCCACTCGTTACTTCTGTAAACATGGATTAGCAAATACTTTGATTCGGCCAGTGTTTATAGGACAAATCGTACATTATTATACAAAGCACACATATGGTGACATTAGAAACCCGAGGAGTCAATAGTTGCATCATCACTACACCATTCATAACTTAAAGCTGACGCCGCCCTCCGGGGCGCCATCGAAATCATTAGAATCTAAGGGAGTGCTCTCCTAACGGAACTAAACTTTTTCAAAAAAAAAAAAAAAAGTAGGGTGCTAATAATTTCTTTCTTACTCTGTATAATTAAACTATTATGATTAATATGAAAATAAATATATCTGTGTGCCGATACGGTGTGATTTATGAGCCGATGTCATACGTATGACTTGTGCGTGTTGAGCTGTTCCACACAAAACCCGATAGTTTATATTACAAAAATCCATTCCAATATACAAAAAAAAAAAAAAATACCCAATTACCGTTACTTTATCTATGACACTTATAAAAAAAATTAAAGAGCTTATAAACATTTTATACCCCGCATCGCGGATGTCGCGTTACCCCACATAAAAAGCTTAGGTAAATACAGTTTGTCCCAAAGGCGTGTACATACATAAAGAGTTCTTGTGCTTTATACTTAGTTTAAATATCAAATATAGAGTTTGGTTTTAGTGCAACTTATAATAGTTTCGTCTGTATATAATATCATTTTGAGACACACTCCAGTATATAACTGTATCCGCTGACCGCCTCGTTTAAACGTAATATAAATAACATCTCTTATTATGTATTGTACATACTAATAAAGTATCGAAATAAAATATAGCCATTCATGCAAAATAATATAGTATATAAATTTCTTTATAACAATGTAAATATAAAAAACCAGCGTGTCAACAAGTCTAGCTGCTATTCTTACAGGCAACAGGATTACTAAGGGTGTGTTTGCACCGTACGTCTATTCGGTCGTCCACTGTTTGTGGTAATGGTTACGGAGTTTAACGATTTTTTATACATATTCAATCTTTAGTTTTTAGTGAATTTATGATAAATTTATCTGGCTGTACGTCTGGTGTAAACACGACCTAAGTCTCGCTTACAATATAAGCAGTCAATAGTTGGAGCGTCGTTGGCTAAGATTCCATCATACCCTGCACGATCATAAGGTTTATAAGTTAATTGTAATATATATATATATATATATAAAATTAGATAATTTTCATTGGACGATAGTTACTATGTATCGCCTGCTTAATGTTTTATATTCTCTAATGTTCAACTTGGTTGCTACAACTGGATCGATGCTCTGCCACCATAAATAAATTGCGAAAAACTATACAATGATAAGCCTCTGTTCTCAATAATTTCTCGGTTCATAGCTGACCACATATTTACGAGCTTGCCATTTGGTTATTAATAATTTACAAGATTTTTGTTTAACATACATTGCTATTTCTGCTGAACTGCGAATCTGATCACACGGCAGGTGGGGAGCTCAAGGCAAAACTTAATCATCAAACTTAACGTGCAGTCATTACGGCACCCTTAGACAAGTAACAAATGAATACAGGTAGATACGTTTTCGTAACTGCACACGCAAGAAAGAGCAGGACGCCATACATTGCTGTCTCGTACACTCATGCAGAGTCATATCTATCGACAGATTCGTCAGCTACTTGTCTAGGGGCACAGTTTCTTCATCACATACCTAGAGTCCAACACATTTAATCAACATTAATATTAGTTCGAAGGCCACACAAGTACAGACACGAACGCCACAGTCGTAAATGCATCTTGAGAGGGGATGGCCGGACGCACCACCAAGGCACAGTACATTATTCATAACACCAGTCAAGTCACGCTAAACACTATCATCCTAGCAGGTTCGCCTACGAACCTGGACAACAATACCAATCGATTGCAATATTATCTACAATTGTCCAATTACAAAGCTGTTCTAAGTGAAGCCAAACGAAATCTATTCGCATTATACAGCGTATAGAGTACTTGAAACTGTGTTCACACCTGCAGACAGCCGTACAGACTGGATTTCGTTATTTATTATAAGCTAACATCTTTATCAGACATTTCATCATTGTGACACCTATGGAACTAGGTTTACAGAAGTGGTAGTTTTGTATTCAAGCGATGTTTTTTTTTTCAGTAATATCTGAGCTCTCAATCAATTGAAGATTTTTTATATTTCGATATATGTGGTAAATCTATCCAGATCTCTAAACCTTATCAATTATGGTCTAATAACGCAAAAAGGAGTTAAACATTTATCTATTTGTTTTTGGCATCAACATTCGTTGCGCGCCAATTTTCTTCGTACATAGAACTTCTAAATGTACAGCGATAAGTCCCGTCGTCTAATGCTGTAGATAATGTACGTGATAGCGTACAAATACGAGTCATGTCTGCAGACGTGAAGCTAGCAAGTCAACGTCGTGCACGGCACGCCTGCGGGGCGACGGGTGCGCGGGGGGAGGGGTAGTGGTATGGTCCAGCCGACCTTTTGTATTACCCTCTTCCCTCTTTCCGATAAACTCTCTTACCTCACCCCCCCGCAGCTCCGTTGCTGCGCACGAACTTGACGTGGTACAGGGGTGTCACGCACTACTCAACAATGTAACATTTATTTCGTAATAAAGACATCTTATTTATTAGCTTGCAACTGGAGCGTGGTAGCGGCGGGGCGGGGCGGCGCGGGGCGCGGGGCGGCGGGCGGCACTACGCGAACAGGTACCGGTACACGATGGTGGCGGCGATGCCCAGCAGCAGCGGCGTCAGCCACGTGCTCCACGCGCTGTCACAAAGTCACCGTATACTGCATCTGATACAACGCTCGTGTTGCCCCGAGATCGCTACTGCTCTACTTTTTGTAATGAACGATTGAATGGCCTATCCACTTATGCTAACAGTTAAGATGAGATTATGAGGATATAGTCAATTCAGATGGCCCATTATCGTGCTGATCTCCAGAGGAATTAACCTTGATGATTTCCAAAGAGATTTTTTTATGCGCCTGCGCTATAAGTATACACTAATGGGACACCAGTGAGGGATAATAGGCGAAGATAATGCGGGTCATTTTCAGGGGGTTCTTACTGGATGATAATGGAATGGTAACCCTGCTTGCGCTATTGGCATACACTGACGGGGCACCAGTCAGTGGTGATAAATGAGGATGAAACTAGATCAGTTAGCCCATTGTGACAGATTCAAGAACCAATCACGACGGTTACCAGGACAAACCATGTGGAGGTCAACCTGACAGGATATATTGCTAGCAATGGGGTTTATTGCCCCTATTACTAACAATTCCTGTTCCCCAAGTTTCCAGAGGAACCCACGTACAAGCTATATTTTACTAACAATCCCTGCTCCTTCCCGACAGTGTGTTATTCAGTGGCAGCGTGGTACCTGTTACACACGCACTAAAAGAGTTACTTTCTCTTGTTAATTGACATGCAAGCGTTAGGGAACGGGCTACGGCAACCACATTACAAATGTTACGTACTGAATTAGAAACAGCCTTAAAAGCCTTCTGATTTATGGGTGTATCATAAAAAAATATTGTAAGGACTCCTTTACATGAGGCTACATTGACAGTGTCGAAATTTTAAAAATATACATGTGTATGTTCGAGGTGAGAGAGTATGAACATGTTCACACTTGGCTACAATTATCTTCGCATGAGGTGGATGACATACATGAATCGTTTAAAGGACTTTAGAAATTATAAAATATTTTTTTTTATAAATATACATTATTTCAAAGAACTGAAACAAGAGAACTATGTACAGACGAATCGAAAACACACTATTGAAAATCAATAGAATGATGAAAAAAAAATTAATATTTGTAGTTTTTTTTTTTAATTTTTATGTCTGTTTGTTTCGGAAAACTGCCACACCAAATCGAATGCGGTTTTCACAGTTGTATTTCTGGCAGATGTAATTAAAAATATGGTGTAGATATGTGTTATTTTAATAAGCAATCAAAAAGTGATCACATACTTGTAAATATATAGATGTCAAATTAAAATGTTATATGCGCATTACAAACGTCAACTAAACATAATAACTGATTCGGGGAAAAAAAAAAAAAACTATAACAAAAAGCACATGAGTCTGTGTAATGTAGAAAAAAAAAACAAGGTTAGGTATAAACGTGTACAAAGGTTGCGAAATGATGAGCCGTCACTTGCAATATGCGATTTATTGAGCAACGTTACAACAAAATATATGTATGAAGTACACAACAAGCACCGCGGGCGGCTGCGCGGCCGCCCTCCACTTAACGCTAATATAGTAAGTGTAAAATAGGAAATAATATAATAAACAATAAGTATATATTGTGCAATAACATGAGCTAAACACTTATAGAGACCTAACAACTATCACTTACTGCAGTACGTGTAAGGTATTCGAGACAAAATAGTTCGAGCAGTTATCCTAAAGTACAGGATTTACCTATTTAGGGAGCAGAGTTTTACCTATATTTAAAATGTAACATTTATTTTTGAAATAAATTATTATTATTATTATTATTATTATTATTATTAGTTTATCAAAAAAATCTTCAAATCTACGCATACTTGTGGAACATTTGTATGTAATTATTGTTAATGAAAAAAATTCTTAATTAGAAAAAAAATGGGGGACATCCATTAATTTCGTATGCTTAAAATGGGGGAAAAAAATGACAGTGAAAGAAGTAAAAAATCTGACCACTCTCGTTTATAAAGAGGACTTGTAGTGAAATGTTACTTCCAACTTTTATCTATTTTACTGAAATTAGCAATGAAGCAAAATAATAAATAAATCTGATGGCAGGGGTAGGGTGTCTAAATTACAGAAAAAATACCCGATGCTATTAATAGATGTCCCCAAAGTCATTATGCGGCGTGGGACTGGTTAAAATCAAGAAGCGGATTTCATTCCAGGGCTATTAATCGAAACAGGCGGAAAAGTGGCAAACTATTCTAATTTCAAACTACATATGAAAAGCAAGAGAAAAGAGAGAAAAGTATCAGTATATAGAACGCATGAGAACAACTAGTAGACATCGGAGTCACTGAAATGCGAACCCAAAATAATACTGCAAATTTGATAGCACCAATTTGCTTCGTTAACAAATTCTACTAGAAATGTGACAATTCTTAGAATCGCATTACGATTGGCTAAATTAATGTAATTAATATCTGTAGTGAACTGAAAAATTACATGTAAATGTAGAATATATTTAAACTTCTATTGTATTAAAAATATTAGGTATCTTACTCCACGGTTCGACTAAATAATTAAAGAGGTTCGATAGTTCCACATTCAGCATTTGCAGTTACTTTTTTTTTAATGTAATAAACATTTTAAAATTGTCATTTCGATATATTTTGTAAATTATCTTACACAATTCAAAGACAAATACTAAATGTTGAGATCGGGTTATAATACGTGAGCATAGACCAACTACTGCCTACTAAAGATCACAAAAATAGACAAGACAACTAAGCTATAAAATATGCGAATTAATTATGTGAACAATACAATACACAGAGCCATGTGCGTGTGTTAATATTATATATGTGCTTCTAAATCAATTTAATATACTCGTCATTATAGTAAAAATAATGTAAGTACACAGAGGAATCGTGACGCAGGACGTTTGTAAGAAGAAACGGACACTTGGTTAAATCTCAAAGTAATAATAAGTAATTTTTAAACGGAAAAGTTCCGGAATCTTAGGTTTGGAATAACTATCATAATCATAATTTAAAAAGGAACAGTTTTCAGCGTAATAAAATAAATAGAATAAAAAAAAAACTGTGACGTCACTAATCCCTCTGTTGTCATCGTCACTGAAAACATCTACGTCAGTGGACAATATAAGCCGAACTGCTATGAATTCGACATTTACTAAAGTACATGTTAGTGCAGATTATATAGTAAATAGATGGAATTTAAAACCATTCAATACTTTTGTTTATCATTGTTTAAAAACTTTGAACAATACGATAGGTTTGTTGTTTTTCAAAAAGAAAACTTGACTACAATTTAATAACGTTGAATTTACTATAGAAACTGCTCCGCAATAACAGGATTAGAACATTAAATTGAAATTTGCTTAAACAGATTATTGTAATATAATACGTAATTAATGGAACATAATGGAGTCCATACAACCGAACAGCACCATAGATATACGACTAGTTGCAAGAGACAAGACCAGAACCCGTGAACTTATAGTGGTAGCTATAAGAAGTAAATAAAAAATATTCTAATCCCGCGATCCAATAAGCTAGCGAAAGTCTAGTATATGAGATTTGTATGGTAGTGTGGTGTGGTGTGGTGGCCAGTTGTGGTTGTGGTGGTACTAGCCGAGAACGCACTTGCCCTGCTCCTGCGGCTGGTCGTTCCACTCGGGCGCGTACGAGGGCTTCGTCTTGGTGCGGTCCTCCTCCACCAGCTCCCCGATCTTGTACTTTTTCATCAGCGACCTAGTGAGATACGAACACATCGTTAAATCGGAATATTTGCTTTCAATCATCAGTGAGATTGAAATCCTGCTGTAAAATAATTACAGTAGGATAATCAAGTTTTTATGCTTATCAACATCATCATATCAGCTTTTAACTGTCCACTCCCTGGCAGGCGGATTGGTAACCGCAGTTAGGCTTTGAAGATATTTTAAGAAGGACGCTGCAGCTCATCCCCCGACCTTCCTTCGCCTCTTACGACACCCACGGGAAAGGAATGGGTGGCCTATTCTTTGCCGGGACAACACGGCATTTTCTGTTTATAGTAAGACCAATTTAAAAGTTGGTGGTTTCCAAAATTCTACATGTAACAGGCAAATATTAAACGAATAAAACATTTAAAAATAATAACTGCGATGACTACATAAAGATGTCAAAAAATATATTCTTGGATCCACATGTAGGTTCAAGTGAACTGAGGCTATTTGCTTTGACTAATGTATTGATCCATTTATGATTGTGTCATTGCGAGGGGAAAGGTGGGAAGATCTTAAAAAAGTAAATATGTTCTCTCAGACATGTATTTGTTCGCAGTTGAAAGCTCCGTTCCTGATCCCGTGGTTAGCGCGGCTTATGCCCCCCCCCCCCCTGCATTCGCTTATGGTAACCCGCCGATGTTAATGTAAACTATTCACTCAGTATAAGAGGCCATCGCGGGCAAAAGCACCTAAGGGTGGGTAATATTGGGGAGAAAGGGATTGTTAGTAATTGGTTCTAACAGCTTCATTTCTAGCAATATGCCTTATCAGGTCGACCTCCACGCTATTTCCCTGGAACCCATCGTGGTTAATTCTTGTCGAATTCTTCACGATGGACCGACTGACCTGTCTCTATCCTCACCTATCATCTATCACTGGTGCCCCGCCAGCGCGGCGGCGGCGGGGCCAGCGCATACTGATAGCATAGGCGCGGTTACCATTTCATTTTCACCTATTGTAAAAAGAAAGGGTGAACTTCTAGAATGACGGTTTAAGACAAGAGATTAAAAATAAAACCAGATTTAAAATTAAACCTTTAGGAACAGAATTGTGAAAATCACATTCAATTTGGTGAAATAGTTTTTGCGAGATGCCGGAACAAACTTACTGTTTTCGCATTTATTGGTCTTGCTAAGATCCTTCATCATTGATTTTTCTTAGATAACTCCCACGTATGGGCATCGTGTAACGTCAATGTAAACGTCGAAATGTATATAGATATCCGACTGGTAAGGGCGAAGTCGAAATGGACGACGACCTTTTATTTCAAACATCATTATCCAGAACCCAATACATATACCTATAGATACGAGAGTGGTACCGATCTTATCCATGCCTACTAATGTACACATGAACTACTGTTGTATTATGTTAAACATTTGTTACTATTCGTTACATCAGTCCTTCTTCCTTCGAAAGGAAGATATTTTATAACCATAATAGCCAAGCATTTTGGTTTCCCTTCTGTCGCCTTAGAGTCTGGGATAACGTGCTATGTTCCCCTAGTCGTCTGTGCGACATCACAGCGATATAAGGAGTTGCGACTTACTTCGTCGTCAAACGGAGATCAGCCGCTGATTGTTTATTGTTCTGACATTACGTTATGACGCCGTGTCCCCGTAGTTATCTCTAAAGGAAAGGGCAGAACATATGAACTGTTTCATTGATTTAATATATCGTGTTATCAAACTCGATACGCTATCTAGCGATACATGTATAATTATATATAGGAATGTAGATAATTATTAATAAATTTATGTACTTATACCATCCCAGTGAACCGTATAGAATGTATTGTAGAAACATATCGTCATAGTCGTCATATCGTCATAGTCGTAGAATACTGACGGATCTTCATATGTAATCTTTGTCAGATCCGTCAGTATTCTACGACTATGACGATATTAGTAACAGATTTTGGAAGTGTAGACATAATTCAAGATTTCCTCTAAATCAATTTAATATCTAGTTATACCTACTCTCAAAACTCAAACCCAAAATGGAATCATTACTTTATATTCAGAGTCATGTCTTCTGTTACTCGTATTCTCAAAATAGTCTCGAAAAATATCACCATTTGCACTCTTACAAGACCGAATACATAATGTTATTATCCTAAGATCATTCTGTAGATATCCATGATTCGTAAACAAAAACGAATCGAGTGATTGATTAAAAAAAAATCTACTTAACTAAATATTAATATGAGTCCAATACCGGAGCAAATGTTATTAATTGCAAAAATAATTATTTAATTCAGAATCGACGAAGTCATGCGTATCCTGTACGAAACAATACTAAAGCCTAGCCAAAGTTAATTCGCAAAGATAAGTTGAATTCTGTACCGTAAACATTCAGCCCGGTGAAGGGTACTGATAGCGGAAACACTTTATTTTTTTGTACTAGTATTGTGTCTAATAAAGAATCACACAAACAAAAAGCATTTAGTAGTGTCATGAAAAAATGAACTGATCTGTTAAATTCCGAGGAATGACTATTACGTATTAATATAATGTTAGAACTTGCAAAATGTTAAATTTCTTGAACAGTTACTTTGACCGGAATAAATGATTATACAATGCCAAAAAACCCGTTATTCAGATAGGAAACTTATATTGAGTTACTAGCTGACCCGGCAGACGTTGTTCTGCCATATAAATATTCTTTTCTGGATAGGGACACCCTAATCACCTTATACCTACCAAATATAGATAAAAATTTTCATACAAATCGGTCGAACCGTTTCGAAGGAGTTCGATCACAAACGCCGTAACGCGAGATTTTTATATATACCTAAGATTAGTTAAAACATTTGTAGCTTGTTTATTTTTTTTATGTTCACCATAACAAGTCTACAAATGTCTCCGACTACTCTATTTGGAAGTATATTTCTTTTTTATATTGGCACAACATGTGAGCACACTATCCTGAGTGAGCATAGAAACAACATTGTCGATGAATGTGATACATCGAAAAGAGAATACTCTAATATAACGGTTGGGTCACACTATGCCGTCTTACTAGGTACTTTTATACGCTACATTTGAAGGATCCAAGTTTACAGGACGAAGGAATCACGTCACGGGAAAGATCATTTCAAATATTTATGGGAGTGTGGTCGGACTATTGTAATTCAGCTATTATGGTCAGTGACCACTCGGTTACGCCAGTATGACGACTGCAACCTTACCTAGCGTCGGAGCTGTGGCTAACGTCCTCGAACGGCTCGGTGGCGTCCTGGCCCGCTTTTTCCAGCAGTACCTCTTCTCCGCCAGGGTGCTAAACCAAAGAAAATATTTAATTAAAAAAAAAAAGCAAACATTTGGAGTGGATAAGATAATTTTCTGCTATTTAGCGAAATACATTTTAGAATTGACTTATGGAGTAAATTTACTAGGTACAGAGGAATACCACCTGAGTCCTCAGGAATGGCAACGCATGGGAGGTATCATGGGCGAAACAGTATACTCTGTTATGTGCATGGTACTGTGCTCATGTCTATAGGCGACGGTTACCACTTTTCATCAGGTGGGCCGTCAGCTTGTTTCAAGTTATATAAAAAAAAATGCAATTGGTAGTCCGCATTACTAACAATCCCTTCCCCTCTTGATCCTATCCTACATTGGATGTATGGTATGTACATCTAAATAAAAAAAAATATTGAGAGCATCAAAGACGTTTTACTATGATGAATAAAATAGGGGATGGTGGGGGTGCAATCGGTTGGAATGTAGGCGGCTCCAAGGGAGCGCGGTATGCGAGAACTGTCATAGCCGAGATGGCCCCATTTTATCGGTGAAATGAGAAATTCCATCGTGACGTTATCGACCCTTGTACTACGTGCACACAGATTAGAGAGACTCGTTGTTTCTTTACCAACTAACGTTTCTATCCAACGCCGTAATAATATAACAAAAATTGTTTTTCTTTTTTTAATTTTTTTTTATACAACTTTGAATGGTAAAAAAGCTGACGGCCCACCTGATGGAAAGTGGTAACCGTCGCCTATAGACATGAGCAGTACCATGGACATAACAGAGTATACTGTTTCGCCCATGATACTCCCCATGCGTTGTCATTCCTGAAGACTCAGGTGTTCTTCCTCTGTACCCAGTAAATTCACGTCATATCCCACCCTTCAGACCGAAACACAGCCATGCAAACACAGCTGCTTCACGGTTGTAACACGAATGGGACAGAGGTACCCAAGCAATGGACTTTTGTACAAAGTCTCCATCTTGCTTCTATCTAATAAGTGGTTAATTGGTATTATCAAATAATTATCAACACAAACAATATTGTATTTTATTACCAGACTTATATAATACCAAACATTGCTGAACTAAACAGTGGCAAAAAACATCCAGTCACATTATATCACCTTATCATAGTTTTAATAATAGTAATATTCATTTATAGCGCATTCGATTCCCATATCATTCAGTTTTTTTTTAGTTGGGTGAAAATGGTATGGTAACCCCGCCTGCGCTAACGGGATACGCTGGCGGAGCACCAGTGAAGGGTGATAGATGAGAATGAAAACAGGCCAGTTAGCCCATCATGATGAATTCACAAGGAATTAACCATGATATTTTCCAGGGAGAACCGCGAGGAGGTCGACCTGGCTGGGTATATTGCTAGCAATGGGATTCTCATTCTTCATCACTAACAATCCCTTTCCCCCCATATATTATACTTGAACGAACACAAACACTCAGGTTATGGAATGAGCTCCCTGCCGAGGTTTTCCCAAGAGACTATAGCATGCGGTTCTTCAAATGGGGAGTAAAGAGGTTTCTATAGGATCGGCCACGCGCGCGTAATACCCTGGTATTGCAAGCGTTTATAGGCTACGGTAACCGTTTACCATCAGCTGGGCTGTATGCTTGTTAACAACCTCAGTGGTATAAAAAAAATTTGAACACAACACCGAAGCAAACATCTCTCTGAATTGGTGTTAACGATTTTACTACGTCATTATTGATGTACTTATCATCCACAGCTAATTAAGTACCGGTTTTTCAATCAGAACAAATCAAAATAAATAAAATATATGTGTAACTTTAAAAAAAACATTCACATAACGAACAATGTGAATATAGCTACCAAAATTTCTAAATTGATTTGTAAAGTTAAAAGAGATTTTCGCAGTTTCATCATCACTACATAGTACAAAACAAAGTCGCTGTCGCTGTCTGTCCGTCCCTATGTATGTTTAAATCTTTAAAACTCCGCAGTGGTTTTTTTTTTTAATAGATAGAGTGATTCAAGAGGAAGATTTATATGTATAATACATGCATAATATTGTAGAGAAACACTGACAAATTTAGAGGTTTGTGATGTCGTAAATAAACACATTTTTAAGGGGAGGCAAAGTTTCGCCTTAGGCTTAATACCGCTTGTGAGCTTAGAATCGGTGACATATAATATCCCACAGAGCCTGTCTTTGAACATAGTTAAGAGGATTTTTTTTTATACAACTTAGAATGGCAAACAAGCTGACAGTCCACCTGATGGAAAGTGGTAACCGTCACCTATAGATATGAGCAGTACCATGGACATAACAGAGTATACTGTTTCGCCCATGATATTCCCCATGCGTTGCCATTCCTGAGGACTCAGATGTTATTCCTCTGTACCCTGTAAATTCATGCCATATCCCACCCTTCAAACCGAAACACAGCCATGCAAACACAACTGCTTCACGGTTGAAACACGAATGGGACAGAGGTACCCAAGCAATCGACTTTTGTACAAAGTCTCCCTCTGGTAAATCAAGCTGGTATTCAGGTACTGCGGCCTACAGATCAGAGCAGTAATAAAGTACTGCTCATCTGTGGTTTGACTGCGATTTACTCGTATCTCCGTCACGCAGATGATGTCGCGGGTAATAGCTAGTTGTACATAATTATGTCAAGATGTTTATTTAATTGTATGTCTAGTAGAAATTACATTAAACCTTTACATTAATTAATTTATCAATTGGTATAAAGATTAAAACGATAATATTAATATAAACTGTGCCTAATTAGGGAAATAATTACCCTCATTGTTTACATATATTTGTTAATTTATTTATTTGTATTAAAGGAAGCATACAGCTATATTAACTTTATGGGTAAATAATTAATACATATGACAACAATAAGCCGATTATGAGCTATAACAGATAGTTGTTATTAAAGTCTGTACATTAATATATTTTTTTAAATAATTGCTTTAAATAGTTTCAATAGTTCTGCAAGGTTTTTTTTTTTTTTATACAACTTAGAATGGCAAACAAGCTGACGGCCCACCTGATGGAAAGTGGTAACCGTCGCCTATAGACATGAACAGTACCATGGACATAACAGAGTATACTGTATCCCCCATGCATATCATGTATCCTATCCTATTAAAAAAGTTAAAATTTCGATATTCAATTTTTCAAACACACTTAAGAAGCTAAATAGATTTAAATTTAGAACACAAATTAGTATAACCTAGATTAAATAAGCTACAATATGTATATTTGTTGCCGTCAAAACTCTTAACCAGTCGAATGTACTATTGACTAACAAAATCAGTCAAAAGTACTTTTGACTGAACAGGTTGGTCAAAAGTGGTCAAAAGGTTTTGACTGAAAATTATTGGTTATTAGTACTTTTGACTGCAAATTTGCGGTTAGGTTAGGTAAGTTTTTTAAACTTTTTTTTTATACGTCATTCCATGACGTATAAAAAAAGTTTAATCATCTAAATTACTCCTCTCCATCCAAAGGTTGCCTGGAAGAGATCGCTCTTAGCGATAAGGTCGCCCATTCTTTGCTCATTGTGATTATTTCTTGTAATTATTTATATTTATAATAAGTTTACTATTGTAATCTTTTGGAGGAAACAATAAAGAATATCTATCTAAATTATTGTACACAAGTGAAGGTATATTGAAGATTAAGATGGAAAATGTCTATCATGTGTGTATGTTCTAAACAGTGTATATTTATATAGAATTTACATTTCATGCTCATATAAGGACCTTCACTCAGTATGGACATCCTTGTCTTAATACATTTTCATTAAATAACAATCATCATTATATCAGCCCTTAACTGTCCACTGCTGAACATAAGGCTCCCCCTTGGGGGGTTTTACCAATAGTTATCACGCTTGGCAGGCAGATTGTCAACCACAGTCAGGCTTTAGAGATGTTTTAAGAGGAACGCTACTGCCCATCCCTCTCCGTCCCTTAGTGGACTGTTACAAAACCTATGGGAAAGGAAAAGGTGGGCCTACTCTATGCGGGGACCACACGGCCACATTAAATAACATTATCATGTAATAACTCCTGGCTATCACAATAGAGAATTTTATTCTGCCATGACAAAATTCCATCATTTGCAGGCCACATCATAACAGGTGTTTAACACTCGCAAATTGAATTACTATTTCTGTTCATACAGTACATAAGTATATATATACTTTATATAAACATCAGTTTTTAATTGACACACAAACATATGAGGAATTGAAGGGAAAAGCAATGTCATATGATCAAAATTAGAAAAATTTTATATTATAACTATAAAGTTTTATATATCTAGAATACACTACATACATAGTAAACACATTTTAAAATATTTTTTAAGTTTTCCTTTTTTTTTTAACCTTCAAGCGATCACTGTGGCAGCTATGATGGAAAAAGATACTTGACACTCAATAAATATTGTTTTGTGATATCATCCAATTAGGCTTACATTTCGTATTTTCATCAAGTTTACTACTGTAATCTTATGGAAGGCAAAATGAAAAGTATCTATGTATGAACTATGTTCATTGGAGGGAAGGGATTGTTATTAATTCAAACTACAAGTTTCATTACTATCATAATACCCTTTCAGGTTGACTTCGCCATAGTCCACCCTGGAAACCATTGCACTGAATCCCAGGTGTTATCATCATGATGGGTTAATTAACCTGCCTTTACAGTCTCACCTATTATCCCTCACTAGCCCCCCTCAGCATATAGCATTAGTGCAGGCCGAGTTACTATTCCACTATCACTCACTATTCATTTGACTGTTTCTGGAATTTTAAGTGGTGTAATACCAACTTAAGTGGTTCCAACTGACCATCACATTTGGGATTCTGGATTACCGCTTAATTTTTTACAAGACAATAAATAAAATACTAGAGCAATGAAAGGTTGCTTACCTCTTCGAGGAATTTGCTGACGTCGTACACACCGTTGTGTATGATAAGTACCGCATCCTTGCGGCTATTGCGCGTCTCCAGCTCCTTGCGTGTGAACAGCTTCACTTGTTCGGCCATTGCGTTGTGTAGTTCTAAGTACAGTTCAACTATGGCTTTGTTTCAGAATAGATTCAGAACACTAGAAATGATTAGTTCAAAAATTGTCAAAGAAGATATACACACCACAAAATTTACATCTGTCAAAACTTACGTTATTGTTTACGACACCCTAATTGTGTACCGATAGGCACTCAAGATAGTCTACTCGCGTAGCTGGCTAAGAGAAAATAATAAAATTTATATACATTCAATATAAATTGTAATTCGTGCAGTTAGATAATATGTAGAGGAGTGTAAAAATTAATATACCTAACTATTTAATAGAGATACGCTGTGAATAAATTGTAATGTTAATTCAAATTCCACAGAACGGATGCAACACGACTGAGATCATAAAGGGACTATTACAGATTAGACTATATCTACAGAGCAAGTAATTACTACGTTATAAGAGTGGGCAGTGGCATTATAACTACGAAAACTGGAAAATTGTTGCATGTTATCTTTTCAAAGTACCAACACAATGAAATAAATAAATATTCATAATGTTGTACTACTATCTATACATGCCTCTATCTAAAATATCCATATCAACTATTGTCATAAAAGATCTAGAAATTTCATAAAGTAAAATTTCCAAATTTTATAAAAAACATCTAAACAAGTACTTATGTTCACTTTACTTTGTTGTAAATCAATTTTTTTTTTATAGGTAAGTAATACAATCTCTTTTTGCCGCATTAAATGGTAGTTAAAAATTTTGTGCCAAGGTAAAAAGCATTTGAAAAAATACACATATTCATATTTAAACAATATATACGTACCTATAAGAAAAATAGCTCGATTTGTAGGTATATTAGTATAAATAAATAAACCTAAAAGCTTTTAAAGTTAGTAGAAAATAAAGTTAATAGGCTGCATGTAAGGTTGTCGTTCTTTAAAATACATAGGCGATTAACAATTTGTTGAATACTTCAATTACTGATTTCCCATAATATATAACTATAATATGACTAAAATATTTCTTTTTAACGAGAAACCACATACAAAAATATAATAAATTAATTATTTATACATAGTACTAATCACTACTTATTTTCATAATATATCAATCAAAACATCTTTATTCATATACATCTATTACAGACTCTTATGATATTTTATTTTATAATTATTACAATATAAAATAATAATAATTAAAAAAATTACAATAATTACAATTCTCATAAATACTATATTCAAGTCCATGGATTTTTATGATTTAAATAGCCATTTATGTTATAATATGCTTTAGCGCAGATAGTATTTTTTATATATATCTTAAATTTATATCATTATGCAGCAAGACGCAGTCATAGACTTTTTTTTTTTTTTTTTTTAATATTTTAAGGGCTTTTACCTTCTTCAGGTATATCAGTCCTATTGTACCCTGAACTGATTTCTCCAACAAAACTTTATCTACCTTCCCTAGACGCGGAAAGAGAAGAATTAATGGGCATCAATAATTTACAGAGATGTTCAAAAATTTCTGGTTTAAGTTCAGCTAACATAAATAAATTTAACTCAAGTGCAAGTAATATAAAAACTACTCAAGAAACCTCTTGTATCAACTATCAGTCAAATTAAAATATTGTAATCTACTACTAATAAGTTCTAATCCAATTTAATTTATTCTAACAAGGAACTTTCATGAGATCCAAATATGAACAGTTTTATTATGTTCTTAACGTAATAAAATACGTGTTTTAAAATTAACTTAAATGAATCCAAATTTAATTGAGATTGGTGTAATAGTTCTATTTTTATAAGTTCTATTTTTAAAAGTAACATCAACTACTAATGTCTAATCCTCTAATAAACTTGTCCTCATATAAACCACTCAAGTGACTATCAGCACAGATTAGAGTTTAGTTACAGAGAAAATTTCGAAGTAATTATGTTTTTTTTTTTTGTTGGGTGAAAATGGTATGGTAACCCTGCCTGCGCTAACAGAGTACGCTGGCGGAGCACCAGTGAAGGGTGATAGATGAGAATGAAAACAGGCCAGTTTGCCCATCATGATGAATTCATCAGGAATTAACCATGATAGTTTTCAGGGAGAACCGCGAGGAGGTCGACCTGGTTGAATATATTGCTAGCAATAGGATTCTCAGTCTCCATTACTAACAATCCCTGTCCCCTCTTATGTTTTATGTTAGTTTACAACTTACTTTTACAAATCGCAATACGCACCAGAGGGATACTTTGTATAAAAGTCGTTTGCTTGGGTACCTCTATCCCATTTTTGTTTCAACCGTGAAGCAGTTGTGTTTGCATGGCTGTGTTTCAGTTTGAAGGGTGGGATATGGGAGTGAATTTAAAAGGTACAGAGGAATAACACCAGAGTTCTCAGGAATGGCAACGCATGGGGGGTATCATGGGTGAAACAGTATACTCTGTTATGTCCATGGTACTGCTCATGTCTATAGGCGACGATTACCACTTTCCATCAGGTGGGCTGTCAGCTTGTTTGCCATTCTAAGTTGTATAAAAAAAAACGTAATATTTATGCAACTGGGAGTTGGGGGAGTCGTTTCTTTTAGGTGTATTTACCATTGGGATGATTTTGCCAGTAGTTGTCATGTTTGGAAGGTGGGTTATTACCTGCAATTAGGATTTTGGTGATGTTTTAAGAGGGATGCTGTTGCCTATCCCTCCACCATAAGTTCCCTTAGTTATCTCTTATGACACCCATGGGAAAGGAAGAAATAGCTTATTCTGTCGGATCCACACAGTATCTTAACAAAGTTGATTTATTTTGATATATTCACAAGTCCAAGCATAATATTATTTGTCATAGATTCTGGCTTCTGGGGATGGCTGATTTTCCTAAATTGAAAACCAAATTCAAGTACCAGTAAAAGTACCAGATTGGTACCAGCCTATTTATTTAATGCCACAGACAGGTAAAGGATTGAAACTTCTAAATAATTTTTGTAGTGGGGGTTAAAAAAAATTGTAAAGTAAAAAAAAACAAAAAAAAAAAGAATATATATAGTACCCGTGAGCAGGAATATAAGGCTGGAAACACAATATCATCAGAATAATAAAAAGAATTATTATAATTCAAAATATTTAGAACATATATAATTTAATTTTGTCTAACTAATATACTTATTTTCTAAGAGACTACTAACATAGTTATAATTTATTTGCAGTTTTTCAGACTTTTATTGTGGAAGCTTCTTGAATTTCTTTTTGTTTGTGTGTTCCATCACAGAATGGTCTGTTTTTAGTTTGCTTACAATTGCATAGCCAATAATCTTTTGTTTTTTCAACTGTAAATCTTATAGGTCTGGAAATAAAGAAAATATAATTATTAATCTTATTTTGAACAAGTTTAGAATCATATTGCAATTTCACAAAATGAAATTAAAGGAGCAAAGTTTTAATTTGTTTAGTCTGCATAGAATTAATATTTTTAATAGTAATAAAGTTAATATAAATTGTGACAGATGACCCAACAAACATTGTTTTCTTTCCTACTGTCACCCATCAGATAGAGGGTCAGTTATCTTGATAAAAACTATCCTATCCTTGAAATTGAAGCTAATAATACGCATGTATAAAATTTGTTGAAAAAGTTTTGGGATTATTATAAATGAACATTGTGAGGCAGGACTTTTATATATTTATTTTATGTTTTTATATAATCATAATGATTACCTTTGTGTAACTTTCAAAAAAATATCTTTGTGTGTACCATCACACATGGGCTGGGACTTGGAGCGGCCACATAAACACCAATGGTATGTCTTGCCTGCCTCCAGAGTCAATTTAAAAGGCTTTCTATCATACACAATACCATTTTCCTTCTGATTTGGAGCAGTGTACACTGATCCTAAAGCATTGCTTGGAATTTCTGGCTTAGGTCCTTTACTCACATATCTTAACTGTAAATTATTCAAAATAATATATGATTTTATTATTGCCTGAGCTCAGCTGCTCGCTTCATGTTGTAAAGAGGGGTTGTTGTCAAACACAGATGTCTGATAGGAAATAAAATAATATTACATACATCCTTAGGCTATGCTAATCATTATATGGGCTGTGTGCTTGCCACCTTAGTAGTACAGTAAAGAAAAATAATAAGAATCACTTAAAAGTTAATAATAAATAGCACTATATGGTTTAGTTCTTCTGTTATTTATTGAAAATAAAATTCCTAAATTTAATTACTACACACATACACAGGTTCATAGCTGTATTTAGATGGGGGCCCATTGGATTGTCTGGTGTCCATTCAAAAATAAAATGTATTTTTTAGTTATAAGTAGAAAGTTGGAGAGCCTATTTTAAGGGCTCAGGCCCGCTCTAGAAGATAACCATAAATACACCAAAGGACAGGCTTACAAATCTTTACAATTATAAATGGAATTCTTACAAATAATAATTGGGAGGTGATAATTATGACATGTCAGGCGGAGGATTGTTAGTAATAGGTTCTTATAGCTCAATTGCTGGCAATAGGGTATGTTGCCGGCAATTGGGGTATGTTAGTTCGGCCTACACAGGTTCCCCCCGGAAACCATCGTGTTTCCTTTCGTTCTCACTTATAAACCTTTACTGGAGTAGCTATCAATATACACTGGCGGTATACACCATTCCATATTCACTCATTAAAAAAGTATTTTGTCTATTGTAATAAAAGTTATTATACGTACCGATGTAATGTCATATGTAAATCTTTTAATGGCATTTATTTTAGGTAAAATAGTTTTATTCATTTTGCTGTAAATTTTTTTTATTGTAAAACTTTAACGACTTCTAGAAAATGTTACTTCTATTATTATATTATATTATATTCACATTAGACATTAAAGTTATTTAGATTAGATTTATTTTATTAGATATTTTATAATTTTAAGATATCAGCTGGTCGAGCGTGATCGGAAATTAATGACATTGACAATTAAAAATGACAGACACAATTGACATGATAAACGATACATGACTGTATGTGGACGTTTGTATTCATAGATTAAGGATAGTACTACGACTGTATAATAATAATAAAGAGGATTTCTGGTCTCTTACTTACATGGGCATTAGCACATCAAGTGTGAAGAACGGAACGAGTCACTCGGTTGTGAAACATCTATCAAAAATGTCTTAGCTATCTATAATTTATATACTATTTGATTACTAATTCTAAGTCAAACAATGTTCATGTCAGTCAGAGTACTTTTTTTGTAAATATTAGTTTTGTTTTTAATTGAATTGCCTAGTACATTTCTAATTTTAGGTTTATTTTTGTATGAGAATGATCATGTAGAATTTATTAAGAAATGTCTAGGATTAAGGGAATCGAATTCGAAGCCGATCGAATATTGCAGTCACATCCCAATGGAAGTAATGGAACAATCAAAAAGAAAACTAAAGAACAGACTACCAAAAAAGATAATGCTGAGAGTGAGTAGTGGAATTTTTATGATTTTATTACATGGATCGTAATCGTGTACTTACGCCACTTTATGCCAATATTATTTTGTTTTTAGGTTATATTCTGTTATTTTGTTTCAGAGCGTCAAATCGTTGAGCTATTGCATAAATTACCAAGGCTGGATGAAATATTCGAAGTACACCGCAAAATAGGCGAGGGAACGTTTAGTTCTGTTTACTTGGGTTCCTTGCGGCAGCATGCGGAGCTGCCAAGCTCGGAGAAGCGGTGGTTTGCGATCAAGCACTTAGTGCCTACTGTCCACCCTGCCCGCATCGAGCACGAGCTTAGGTGTTTGCAGGACATGGGGTAAGTCATAACAATTTCATACTCGGCTTACATACAGCTATGTATCAGGTTTGTATTATTCATATTTGAGGCCAACTATCATGGTATTATATAAGAACATTAGTTTATAAACTTATTATGAATAAGTTTAATTAATTTAATAAAAAAATTATGTATAAAAATATAACTTATCTAACTTTGATTTTGCAACCTCTTTTAAACAAATTTGTCTTGTAAACATTACTACTTCCTTTTCCATCAATTAGATTAAATTGTGCATAGCTATTTCTCCTTTCCCATTCTGACTGGCCATGCTGACTCAACAGTGATATTTCTTCTAACATATTTTTTCCTGTCATTCTTTCTATATCACTTGCCTGTCACACTCCTTGTTACATACCTAATTTATATTTTTCTACTATATGTATAGTTTCCATTACAAATAGCTTTTGCATGCTATAATTATATACCTTAAAGAAACACACCCCAATGGAGATTATTTTTTCCTTCTCTGGGTGAGAGAAGTAATTTCCTGTCTTCCTTATTTTTTATTATTTTTCATATTTGTATATTAATTTGTGTAATTTATTAACTTTTGAAATGTTTAATTAAATAGATATGTAATTTACAATGTATTTAAAACTCTGTTGTTCACACATGTTGCAAAATGCGAAAAAAAAAAATTAAACAAAATAAATCTAATCAAATAACCAGTAACTGGACGCAGATTCCAAACACAGACCACATGTCTTACCTATTCTAGTGCTGCTTTTTTTATTTTCCTTTCCATGTATTTTCTTTACATATTATTTTGTTATTAATTATGTTCAGATAATAAAAAGCAAAATATAAGAAGAAAATTATGGTTATGTTTTAAAAATTGTCATTTTTCTTTGGGAGTAGTTTCTACCCCATTTTGAGGTAGATAGGCATAACTAGCCTTTTCTTCCTCCTGAGGAATGCCAATGCAATAATCGTTTTGTTGTATACTGATGGCGACAATTTTGTCAGACATAAAACATATCACAAAAACAACTAGCATAATAAATGATCTTTTATATAATTATTTGTTTTATTTCAGGGGCAAGGACCATGTTATTGGCGTTGAGCTTTGTCTGCGTCATTTAGACACTATAGTTTTTGTAATGCCTTATATACCTCACAGAAAGTTCTCAGTAAGTTTATTATTTTGCACTACACAGTTTGTTTCACTTTTAAATTACACAACACTACTGTCCTACATGTGTGACATATAAATTGAGATAGTAATTTGACAGGAATATGTAGGGGACATGGATGCCAATGAACTGCGTCGGTACATGCGGGCTCTCATGATAGCCTTGAGGAGAGTACATTCTTTTGGTGTTATACATCGGGACGTGAAGCCTGGCAACTTTCTTTATGATAGAGAGAATCAAAGGTAGATGCAAACCTATTACAATATACAGGTGCTCTTACATACATAACTAAAACCTTATTTTCTTGGCAGATATCTCTTGGTGGATTTTGGGCTCGCTCAGCGACTGTGTCCACTTCCCATTGAAACGCGACAGGAGCCCGCGTCTTTGCTCGTACCGCCCCCCGCCCACACCAACAGCAACGGCAAGCGTAACAGAAGTGAGGTATCGTATCTCTCAGTTCCTGATCAAGTTGGACCAGATCAAATTCGGTAACCGTTTCTCATTTTCTAGAGTGATTCTCCACCGGGTGCTAAAAGGGTGGCGCTGGATCTCACCGTCGCGGCGAAACCCAAGGTTACCACGGCCGCCGCTCCCGCACCTGCATCTGCCGCGGAGATTCAGAGCCCGAGGGCGACGCCGCGAGTGAGTAGTCGCACAGAATGTACGCGAACGAGAACATAACGTTAATCATAAGATTGGCTTAATCTTTTCGTACGTATTCGAAATCAACTATGACTTACGTGTATATGCGAAATGTGATTTGCAGAACGTGAGCGCGTACGCGTGCGCGTGCGCGGGCGCTGGCGGCGTGTGCGCGGCGTGCGAGGCGCGGCCGCCGCCGCGGGCCGCGCGCGCCGGCACGCAGGGCTTCCGGCCGCCCGAGGTGCTGCTCAAGTACCCGCACCAGACCACCGCCGTCGACATGTGGGCCAGCGGCGTGGTGCTCGTGAGCGTGCTGTCGGCGCGGTACCCGTTCTTCCGCGCGAGCGACGACGTGTCCGCGCTGGCCGAGCTGGCCGACCTGCTGGGCACGCAGGCGCTGCAGCGCACGGCGGCGGCGCTGGGGCGGCGGCTCGTGACGTCGTCGGGCCGGCGCGGGCTGTGCCTGCGCAAGCTGTGCGCGTGGCTGCGCGGCGCGCCGCCGCCGCCCTGCACGCACTCGCGGCTGCCGCGCGCGCCCTGCCTCTGCCTCGATGGCAATTTCAAGGTAGCGATGACGTCGGCAGTAGTTTTGATATTGTACGCTCGGTGCCGCCCCGTGCTGACCGGCCGTGTGCCGTGTGCCCAGCCGCAGGAGGTGCGCGCGGGCAGCGTGGCGGGGTTCCCGGACGCGGCGTTCGCGCTGGCGGCGCGGCTGCTGGAGCCCGACCCGCGCGCGCGGCTGTCGGCGGCGGAGGCGCTGCGGCACCCGTTCCTGGCGACGGGCGGCGAGCGCTGCTGACCGCCGCGCTCCCGGGGCCGCCCGGCCTCGGCTGTGATTTACAATCCTTTTTTGGGATCCCTTTTATATAATATATGAGTAGAGTTATTTTTGAACATGAAGGAATGCAAGAGATTTGTTGTGGTCGTCCTCGCACCAATCCCTAGTTTAATTGTTTATGATGAGGTTTAAGCGACGACCGTTGTTGTTATATTTTTAATGCGTGTAAACGAAAAAAAATCTGCTAGCTGCGACTGAACTTTTAGAGTATGATGATATAATTTATGGGATATCTTTTCACTTAGTAAAGATGCATTCACTGGTGGTCAAGGAAGACAACAACATTATAATGTCGGAAGTTACCCACCACTGTCGATTCGTGTGCTAGTTGGCCAAATGTATTCTACTTTGATTATCATGTTGATTGCAGACTGTACTTGTACATGAAGATTGATAACAGATATCGAATAATTTTCAACTGTCAGAAACTAATACTATACTGTATCTCCATATCTTATTGTTATATTGAAACTGTAATCTTAAACAATAATTATTTTTCTTTTTACAAAATCTGGGCAGCAGTTTTAAATATTAGCGTGAACACTGAACATACGACACTAAGTTTTACATATTAACGTACCACATGCTGACAACGCTGATGTTAATGTTCGGATCTGTTGTGAACTAGTTGATTAAAAATACACTATTATTGACTTCATGAAATATAATCTATCATAATGTGACTCATTTAAGTGTTAGCCGAGTGTTTTTCGTTTACCCATTCCCAAGTCCCGAGCCTTCCACTCTTGCATTCTTTTCTCACAAAGTCAACTTGTTGCAAACGTTATGTTTGAATGCAACTAGGATCTCAGAGTGAATTTTATGTTAAACATGTTCAGTACAAAGTAGCTGTAATTGTACTTCGGTGTGCTGGAGCCGGCCGCTCCCGATGCATTATCCCAATGAATTTTTATCTATACACCGCGTCGACGCAGTCGGCTTCCAATGCGGTTAACGTTTGTGAACATACAAGTGCCTTGATATGTGTTCATTAGGATGATTTTTTGTTACCTAGTTCTTAACATGCGAATAAACAAAGACATGTTTGAACATGACATTTGTTTTATTTAAGCTTCAATAAGTACTTGACCCCCCGAAATTTATTTATAAAAACGTCAAACCTACAAACCCATCTTAGATATTGAACTGTTTTGTCTTTTTTTTATACAACTTAGAATGGTAAACAAGCTGACGGCCCACCTGATGGAAATTGGCAACCGTCGCCTATAGACACGAGCAATACCATGCACATAACAGAGTATACCGTTTCGCCCATGATAACGCCCATACGTTGTCATTCCTGAGGACTCGGGTGTTATTCCTCTGTACTCTGTAAACTCGTAATTTGAAAGTGACAAAACAGTGTAATAGTTAAAATAGGTTTGTAAAAGTATTAGTTAAAATAGATTTTATGAATAAGGTTAGTTTTTTTTTTTAATATAATAATTACAGTTTTAGTCACAGTTAGGCTCGCGCTTACATCACGGTCTCTCATGACTAAGTCTCAGATGGTCTCGGAACTAATCCAGCTTTCTCAACTAGTTTAATAACAAGTAAGCTAGTTATTACTTTACGGTACGGTTACATTAAAATATAATGTGTATTAACGAAATTTTTAACAACAAAAATAAAACTATTTAGTTGTTGAACCACATCATCTATTCTTTGTAGTTCTACACTAAAATAATTGACACAAGCGATAATATGTCACAGAGCTCGACTCAAATGCGCATGCACATATTTTAGTAAATACATGTAATTTTGTTTTCAACAGCAGCCTAATGGAAAATCGAACCTACGAATTATAATTCCTGGTTCAAATTATTCCTCGTAATCATAGATTGATAGATGTAGTACATTATACTAAGTCTGTGCTGGTAATAATCGCTATAACTCGATGTCAAATTTATAATAATACAACCAATAGGGGGGGGAAAAGGGATTGTTGGCAATGAAGTTTGACAGCCCCATTGCCAGCAATTATGCCTATTAGGTCGACCTCCACGTGGTTCCCCCTGGAAACTATCGTAAACAATTCTTGTTGAATTCGTCACGATGGGCTAACTGACCTTCTTTATCCTTCATTGGTGGCCCGCCGGTGTACACCGCGGGTGGGGTTACCATTCCATTATCACCCATTAAAAAAATACAACCATTACAATTTTCTTTTTTATTAAAAAAAAAAAAAACATTATTATTAAGCAGTCTTTGTTGACTATTAAAAGTGTAGTATATAATACTACTGCAGCTCGGACACAATTTTATAATTTGTTACATAATTTATTTTATAATAAATAATATTAAGTGATTTAATATATCCCAAACCAAAGGCCAAGAACATGTAAGACACGCAACAATATGGCTGCCATAGCTGTGTTTGGTTTTAACCAATGTTTTTAATTGTATAATTATTGATTTAATAGATCATATACGTTTAGATAGTACCAAAAGTATATAAACGTAGTTTTGGTAATGGATTTCTATTATTAACTGACGTAAACAAGGTTATACGTTAACGTAAACAATATAACAGTTATTACTTGCAACACCGAAAAATGTGCTTTGTTCTCCGACTCTTGGCGTTGGATAACTCATTTTTTATATTGCAGGTCCCATCTATACGCATATGATCCACAAATGATGACTGGGTTGAAAATTAAAGAGATGTATCATTCTGAGCTCAGTCATTGTGTAGCATCTCGAGAAATCGATAAACTATTAAATACGAAATTAATTACAAATCACTTCTAATGCATTTGTCTAAATAAATATCGGTAGTATAAAAAAAGCAGCGGAATCACGTAAAGTGGTATGAAGGCATACTACAATAGTCTCGGGAATGTGTAATGCATGAAGGGTACCATGGATATCACAGAATACCATACCATGTGATATCGTAGGTATCACAGAAATATCCATAGTGCTGTTTACGTGTAACAGTTACCGCTTTCCATTAGGTAGGCGGTCAACTAGTTTAATATTCTAGGTATCATAACAAAAAATCAGATAGCTTAACAAATAAATAACTATACTAAACTCAGTAAAACAAGAACTGTATTTATTTGTAGCTATCCCGTACAACTGAGAAGGAATATGAGGACATAAGTGAGTTTGCTTATGGAAACCATTAGCAAACTCATTTATGTCCAAACTATACAGTTTTATTCACTAAACTTGCATTAAAAGTGTGTAATTTATTAAATTTAACAATAAATAATCTTATTTTTTTTCTATATTTCTAAAATAGTACTTTTATAAAAAGTATTCGAGCCATGAAGAGAGATCAAACTAGATACTTAGGCGCACTACACCTATTAGATGAGCAACAATGTCAAAAACATTGCATTGGAGTTCAATTTTTTTTACAACACAGGGGGACAGACGAGCATGCTGCATGATTCATAGTGGCACCATTTTAAGAACAAAGGGCCCAACACGGTTAACACAAGGAGCAGCGTTGTCGCGCTGCTTTCTATTTAAAGAGTTTAGAAGTTTAATAATGCTGTCTATATACAATTTGCAAACTCTTTGTACATGACTGGCCAGTGGTGTGTGCACACTCGCCCGATCACACACACATACAGACAGTGTAAACTTTTGAACTGTCTAATCACGATCTGTCACAAAGTGGCACCACCACACTCTGTATGCTAACACAAATTACTAAGCACCTAGTAACTAATTATCCAGACAAACGCATTCAAGTGTTACATTATGTTTTCAGATTCATTCATGTGCTTAATTTGATTTATCACATAATATAACATTTCATTATGGAAATATTTAACTTTTAACTTAAAAATAACAAATAAAAAAATTAATATTAATCTCAAGTAAGTTGGCGTTAGTTCCTCCAAAAGTTAGGGTTCTGCTGCAACCGCCGCTCAAAGTTTTGGTACCACGTGTGCAGCGTGCTGAGGGGGATGTAAGAGATACCCGGAGTGGGCGTCATTTGTTCCTGCGTCAACGAGAACGATGCCACAAAGTTCACTAAATTGTCCAACATTTTTTGAGCAAACGTTACGTAGTCATTGGCTTGGTCTGCCTGAAAACAATATAAATTTTTAATATTACCATGATATTTTGATTTTTGTGTGACTAACATCACTATTTCATATATTTATGCTGGTTAGTTTATGAGTAAATATGGAATTGGAAACAGTTTCCAGGGGGAAAAGCATGGAGGCCAACCTGATGGGTATACTGCTAGCAATGAGACTGTTAGACCTTATTCCTCCCCCCCCCCTAGTCATAAGGGTAGGACTTTTCAAATCAAAACAGCCATGCAACCACAACTGCTTCGCAACAGAAACAGAAATGGGACAAAGGTGCCCAAGCACAAAACTTTTGTAAAAAAAATTCCTTTGGTGATGTAGTACTCCATCTCTCTGTGTAGCAAGCATTAGTATATTATATAATATCAATAGAATATAGAGCACTTTGTACCAGTGCTTTAGAAGGAAAACACAAAGTACAACATTAATCCATCAGTAACAGGAGGCTAATATTCTCTTGTAGAGGATTTGTCATGTCCAGCGTTAGTTATTAATAGGTAGTTACTGTGACCTCCACAGCTTCATTGCAAGTGGTGGGTGTGTCTGGAAATGCTAGTGTGAAATATAAATACAAAGAGTAGTGTACTTACAACTGATGATGCGAGTAATTGAACATTTGTTTCTGGTTCAATTGATATACCGATCTGAGCATCATGACAGATCTGCTGCTGACCAAAGGCACTCATAAATTTATTCTCATCTGAAAACAAAACATGAAGTTTTAGTGACTCCACCTTTACTTTGTCTTAATAATATCCCACTGTTGTATGCATTTCATAGTCTATGTTATAGGAAAATAAAAAGTGTATTGTCTTATCATGTCCCTTTTCCTGTTTGTGTTGTTGTTAATAAATGGTAATTACTTATATAACTAATTTTTATTTTAACTTCATCTACTGTGTTTTTATTTTCACTAAAATAAATAAGTACAACAGTCTCTTACTCTGTGGTAAAATAGAAAATGAATGATACTAATTTTATACCTTGTTTTATAATATATCCAATTCCATGTTTTTACTTTATGTATATATAAGATATCCATATCATTTCATCCCTAGACCATTTTAAAAAGAAATCAGGAAATAAAGAAATTTATTAACTTTTTTAAAGAATTTATTTGAAGAATATTATTTAGTGCAAGGAACATTAAAAACTAAATGCAAACTTAATTATTCAATGTGATGGTAGGCTTTTGTGAGGAGAGACCTGTGTCCAGCAGTGGGATAATAATAAGTCCTTCATGCAAATTGAATCGAAATATTAAAAAAAAAAAAACTAGTTTTACTCATTATTTTGTCTGCATCATTAGAATTGCATAAATAAGGCAATATATAAACCTACTTACTTTCATATTTATTTAAGAATGATAACTAGGAAGATTTGTATCAATATTATATTTGATATAAACATTATACTAATAAGAATATTGGGTTGATGTAGATTGTTCTAGAACTTACTAGTTAATTCATGCAGTTTCTTGAGGTTCGATATTTTAAAAATAGCTGACGGTTTGCTATTTGATATGTGGCCAAGGAGTTGCCAGTTCGGCGGAGCCGCCGGGTCCGGCCAGCTCCAATAAACCATTGCAGCAGTGCCGAGCGGCAAAGGCGCGAGGCCAGTTAGGAACACTACTGCGTGGTTGATCGAATCCACCTCGGGGATTGTGATTAGGAACCTCGTCTCAGACAGCGGAGTGAACTCTGTTTGCACCTGCACGACCCACACACAGAATTCAGATTATTTCAACTCACAGCATAAACTTTTAAGAGGTTAACTATACGAAGTGCCTACATGTACTTACCAATCTGCCCGACACTATTAATCCAAATACGTTAGACATTACTTATGAATAATATCACAACTTCTTAACAAGATTTATGATAATTAACTATGTTGATATAAAATAAAAATATAACCTATTTCACTCAATTGTTGTCATTTAATGATTATTAAAAAAAAAGCAATTTAGAAAAAAGTAAACACAACCTACAGAGTATACCTAACTCTAAAGGGAGTATAATACGATCACTGCTAAATTTCACGAACATATTCATTATCATCACAGACATATAACAATGATTCTTTTTTATTATCTGTAATTGCCACTTTTTCACTACACTTACACTAAGAACAAGGAATTACATAGGAGTGATAAAATTGTCACTTCATAGCAGGATAGTGTATAGAAAATGTTTGATATGTCAGTTATTTATCAATGACAAATTTTATATTACTAGATTATATATTTGACACAGTTTATTTAAAAAATAGCAATTGATGGTGTATCTTTTGTCCTCTTTTTATTAATCATATTTGCATAAGAAGAAAGGAGACAACCATATGATTTACAGTTTTTATTTTATAACTTCTTCTATGTAATTCCTTGTTCTTAGCACTTACACGTGTATGATAGAGATAGAGGTCCTCCGTCTCTTTAGTCTTACATGTCGGCAAATGTTCTTAGCATGCTTGGCATGGTAAATGGCAATCGATATTTCGACGTATTTTACTTATTCTAAGGATGCGTATATGGTCTACAAAGTTTTTTATTAATAAGTTTTTATTTTGGAGACAGGCTTTGAGTTATGGTTATGACTTATGGACAAGGAATGGAAATAAAAAGGACTGATAAAATATAAACAGTAAATCATATGCTTGTCTCCCTTCTACTTATTTAAAAGTAATTAACAAAAAAAAAGAACGTAATTTTTTTCAATTCGTAACTAATTATGATAAAGGATATTTAAATACATAGAGCGAGTATTTGTTGGTTTAAATATTAGAGGATTCTGTAACGAATCTTTCGGTTTGAGTGACCCGTTCTCTCTGCACATGGAGGGCCAAGCACTTGTGTACGGTGTGGACTGCCGTACGGTGAGCGTGGACTGTAGGGGCGTTGGTTCAGGCTGGAGTGAAACACAGGGATTAGTATTCTGAAGCCTCCGGTACCGTCTGAAGAGAGTATTTTTCTTTTTGTCCTATTTCTTCTCGAGTGTAGTACTTGCCGGTGGTTTTCATAGGAACGCACTAAGGTTCACTTGTAGACTGTTGGCGCCGTCTGGGCCGGTCGGCGCGGTCTTCGCCTGCCAGGTGAGACCCCATGGGGGGAGGCCCGGCAAACTGCCAGCGCAAGAGCGGCCCATGACGACGGCGCCACGCGCTTCTACACTATGGGACCGTGCCTTCTTCTTCTGCTTCGCGCGAGCGGTGAGTTCGCGCGCGTATGGCTTCATCTCCGGCGGTCTAGCGTGCAGAGGCGCTATGCCTCTGAGGTGGTCCCCATTTTGATGCGTCCGCGCGCTGGAACAGTCTAGTCGCTAGTTCTTTCACGTGTGCGTCCAGTGGCTGGATTTTGAGGTCCCTCTCCAGGGTGGCGTTTCTGACGAACTTATGCGCACCGGTCAGGGTACGCAACGTCAGGTGCTGTTGTGCTTCTAATGCTCTTCTGTTTGTCTTGCTGACGAATGCGTACCACGCCGGCGCGGCATAAGTTAGACG